GTTGGGCCCCGGGGGAGGCCCGCCATCTTCCGTCCAGCCTGGGCCCCGCGGCGCACCGATGGCGGGAAGGGCCCCGCCGGGCCGGGGATGGGCACGGCCACGGCAGGGGGCGGGCGGCAAGGCCGCCAGAGGCAGCGCACCAGCAGCGGCTCCGGCCGCCAAAAGCAAACCTGGGGGCGGCCCGGCAGCGGGCACCACGGCGCCCGCCGTCGCGGGCGGAAGGGCTGCCGCGGCCAAGGCCCCGGCCGCTGGCGCTGGCGCCGCCGCCCCTGGGAGGACCCCCCTGCCGATGGGGACTAGCGTGCCCCCAGGTGGGACCCCCGACCCCCAGGTGGCGGCGGGCGAACTCGGCATCCGCCTCGGCCGTGGCGGCGCCCGAAGCGATAGGTCGTCTCCGGCGCAATCTCAGGCGGCGGTGGCCAGCGCGCGGCAGCGAATCGTACTGCCGCGAAGCCAACTGCCGCCGCCAGCAACCGATCCGCGTAGAAAGTGTCGTCGGGCGCCACTACCAGCACGTCATCCGCTACTGCCAATCGACCCACTACCCTCCTCTGGTGGAAGAGCGACGCGCCGCCCACGTTGTACAAGACCCACGCCCAGGCCTCCACCATCACCAGCAGCAGCCAGAGCCTTTGGAAAAGCAGCCGGAAGAACAGGCGGCGACGCGGCGGCCCCGTGCGGCGGGTTCCTGACCTCGGCGGTGAAGCGGAGCGGGCCCCACAGGCGCAGCGCGGCGATGGTTGCGAACACGCAACAGGAGGCGCCGGCGAGCGCCGCCGCAGCGCAGACCAGGGCCACTGTCCCCGCGGTCACCCCCACGGTCGCCCTTGGGCACGGCGGGCACGCTGGGCACTCGGGGCACGCGGGGACGTGCGTCGCCGGGCAGCGGGTGACCAAAGCCTGCAACGCTGGAGCCCCCCAGCGGTCCAGCAGCCCCAGCAAGCCCCCCCAGAGGCCCAACCAAGCCATGCACTGCAGGCCCCCACGGCACGAGCTCGAGAGCCGAAGACTACGGAATGCAAGTGTTCGGCCTCTTACACTACCCTCGTGTGGCATTGAACTTCGAAATAAGAGACCATCGTCACAATCAGCATCATCATCATCATCATCATCATCATCATCATCATCATCAACATCGTCATCGTCATCGTCATCGTCATCGTCATCGTCATCGTCATCACCATCATCGCCACCATCATCCTTATCATCATCAGCAGCATGATCATCAGAACATCATCAGCATTTACATCAGCATCACCAATCCACCCTCACGCTCAACATCATCATCATCATCATCATCATCATCATCATCATCATCATCATCATCATCATCATTCACATCCTCAGCAACATCATCATCATCTCGCAATCCTCGCCATCACAAATATCTTGGTGGCCCCACAGGGGCATCCTGGAGAACATGGTTCGACATGCAACTTGCAAAGTTGGTCCTCCTCGGGGACTCGTGCACCGTCTTGGGCGTCAAAGCCGGAAAGCCGAGTGCCAAACTTACTCAAACCATGAAGCTTAACATTACGTAGGTCTCTTGGACTGGGCACAATGAGCCTCCAACACGGTCTGAAACGTTCTATATCTCAAACACTCGTTGGTGTAACGCCGGCAAGCGGACCATACATCCAAACCGCGGAAAGTTCGGAGATCTCAAGCGACGTCAGAATCTGCTATACCATCGGGGGCCCAATTATCCGAGATGGCTGAAGGAGGACGCGATGAAGGATGATTGGGGAAAAAAGCAAAGCGGGGGAAGAGGGAGCGGCACAAGGGATCAGGAAGGAAGAGGGTGAAGAGGTGAGGAAGGCAGGGGGGTGAGTAGCTTGAACCTGAGGTCAGGAGAGGGACATCATCCACCACCACCATGTCCCCACGAACCCATGTGGGCCCAGACCTTGATAGATATGTGATCCCTACCTGGCCAGGAGCCATTCTTGACCAGGATCTGAAATCAAGCGGGGCCGCAGCGGGGCCTATACAAGGCGTTGCGTAGTGGAGGATAAGCTCCCTCTCTCGCGGAAGGCAAGAATTGGCAGTGCACGTCCGGCAGCAGGACAGGATGGTGAAAATGCGGTGAGACGCAGGCGCAAGTCCAAGCCGCATGCCGAGGGGGACAGCCGGATGTTCCCAAGCTGCTTGCCCCCAATGCAGAATACAGCTCTCTCTACTCGAGGAGGGAGGAGTGGAGGCAGGCGGGGCGGAAGGAAGGACGGCCAGGAGGAGACATAGCAGCAGGAGGCAGGAGGGAGGAGGAAAAAGGAAGGGGGGGAAAGAAGAGGGAGGAGGGAAGGAGTGGGAGATGATGGAGGCAGATGAACTGCTCAAGTGGCACTGGCCCCACGCAGCATACAGATGATCAGGTCATAGCATAGGGACGGAGGGCGGACGAGGGATGAGTCAGAATTGGAAGGGAGGGGAACGATCACGAGGGGGACGAGGAGAATGAGGATGACGATGAAGAGGATGTGAGCATAGCCAGACACCAGAGAACATGATGCACCCGCGCTTCGTTCTTCGAGAGAAACGAATACCTCTCGTCGCGCCACAGTGACCCCGTGGGGTCCAGGGAACCAAGAAGACGATCGCGGGGGCGAGGGAGGGTGGGAGAACGAGAGACAGAGGAAGAGAGACACCGCGTGTGTATCTATATATATATATATATATATACATATATGCATATGTACATTACACCTAAGAAAGCCCAATCACTGGATGACTTGAAAATTGATACTATGGATCTTGAGATCGATTGTGAGATCGATAATGACATCGATAGTGGAGTCGATAGTGAGGACGATTATAAGGTCGATCGTGAGACCGGGAGTGAAAAGGATTCAATGAGATCGATAGTGAGATCGATCGCCAGATCGCTCACGCGATCTCTAGTGAGATCGCTTGTAAGATCGATAATGAGATCGATTGTGAGATCGATGGTGAGATCGATGAAGATGTGGGTAATGAGATCGATGGTGAAACCGATCGATAAGAAAATCGACCAGGAACCCAAGAACCTGGGAACCAAGGAACCTCGCCGCCCTCCGAAATCGGTCCGGAACCCGGAACGGGGAACCCGGGAACCCAGAACTGGGAACGGCTGTGAACTTTCACCGAATCCTTCAACTTCCGCGAGGACCCCTTTAGTGCAAGCACTGATTGGAGAATGAACATACACACACTTACGTGTACATGTGTATATGCCTATGTGTCTATTCAAATGTGTATATATATATATATAACCCCTTGCTGGTGATAATAACCCCCTGGGATACTAAAAGTTCGGGCTCCAGGCGGGACCATCTGTTTCCCAGAGATCTCGATGCTAGGATGTCTGGATTGGTCTTCAAGATCCGTCTTCAAGCGCCTCCAGTTGCGAAAATAGCATGTTCGCCTCGGTTGCCTTGGCGAAAACAAGCGTTTGTGAGCTCAGCGAATCTACGATAATGTGAGTGTCGCTTGAGACATCCTTACAGTAATGGCACGTTCGCGAAAGTGACTCCTACGACAACCAGCGTTATGCTTGAGACATCGCCGAACAAGTGTTAGCAGCGAATTCGGCAAATCTTCGCAACTGTGCGTTTCGCCTGCGACATCTTCACACATGAAAGCAAGGATTACTCATGGTGCTATGAATGCGACGAAGATCAGAGCTAGGATAGGAACTTTGAACGTGGCAGTTTAACCGCATTCAATCCCGTATATACATAAAGAGATAAAACAACTTTGTTGGAAAAGGGATGCGTCATGATCTGCTGGTGTCACTCTGACTCTTCAGTTGGCTCCCTCCTCCCCTCAGCACCCGCGCGCCGCGCAGCACTCGGCTCTGGCGCGGCAAGCTTCGAAAACAGAAGAAACAGGTGAGGGAGGCAGGGGACCAACCTTTGGGGGTGGGGTTATACATATGTGTGTTTACGTCAGTGGGATCGAAGGAGCAAGAGAACGACAGTACGATGGCGAGGAGGGATTGAGCGAGGAGGTGTGGGAAGCGCGAGGCGAGGTTATGACGCGGGAGCCACGCTGCTCGGCAGGACGCTCACCGGGCTAACCTTCGAACTCGGCCGCTCCTCTGTGGTGCCGCTGTCCTGTCGCCCAGCGATGGAGGCATGCAAACAATCATTTCTCAGCCCTGGAGGGCTGTAGCTGTGCCAATATGTGTCTCCCTCCGCTCGGGCGATGTCAATTCATCACCTCTCTGGGCCCAGGGTCGAACTGGCCAGGATCGGCGAGGGGTTCGGTTGCTTCCTCTCTCCTCGTTCCTCCCCGTTGGCCTTCCCGATCCCATTCCCTTCCTCACTCCCTCGTTCCTCCGCCCGCTTCCCCAGCGAAATTCTACACGACCCGGCCCAAACGCTCGAAATACGGTCTGCCCGCCACCACCCGACCGACCGAGTCAAGGCCAGCCCCCATACGACCCCTTGGCTGAACATCCGCCAGCCGACGGCCCGCTCGCGACCCGCAGCCGCCGCGACCAACGCCCCCCGCGACGCTCACCGCGATCCGCCCCGCGACCCGCCTGCCCTCCCGTCCTGCGTCCCGCCCCGCGACCCGTCAGCCAGCCGCCCGCGACCTGCACGCGCGGTGACGCGGGTCCGCCGCGACCCGCGACGCCGCAACCGGCGCCGCCTGCCACCCGCGCAGGGCGCCGCGCGACCCCGCCACCTGCTAAGCGCTCCACTCCTTGTTCGCAGCTGCGGGTGCTCCTGCTAAATTTGCTCAGTTCTACCTCGGCTCGCTTCTGATCCCCCTTCCCCCTCCCCCACTCCTCCCCGTGACCCGGGAGAGAAGAAGACTGCGTATTGGTGAAGGCTGCGGTGGGTGGTGGCCTCCAGAACTTGGGAGCTAGACATTGAAACCTGGTTTCGTGGGGGGCCCTTGCCAGGTCCGTACCAACCCATGCCGAATTGGCCCCCAGGTGGGATGTTCGGTAGCCATTGGCAGTATTTGGCAGCGGGGGCTGGAGCTCATTATCACTCTTCTGATTGGAGCTGTCCTCAATTGTCCTGCTTCTCGCCAGTGCTGCCACTGCTGCCGCCGGCTGCGTCCGGCTCTGGCGCTACTGCGGCGCTTCCACTGGCATCACTGTCGCCACCCTTCTTCTGGTGGAATTTGGAGTTCCTCACCGCTGACATGAGCGGTCCAGGTACACGATCCGCAGCGCCTGGGTTGTTCTCGTCAGCGATGAAACATTGCAGGCAGGTGTCCACGGCCAACGCGTATACGCTCATGAAAAGCTTTCCCACCATGTAACCCACTACAATGTAGCTCATCACGGGCAGCACTGGGAAGACAGTCGGGTGCATTGCCTGCAAAATGAAGTAGCCGAGCACGGCGGTGCTAAACGCCACAAACATCCAACCGAAGAACTGCATGATCCCGCCAAGCACGGCAATGACTGCGAACCGCCGTGCGTTCGATAGGATAAGAAAGAATGCATTCTTGGCCGAAGTGCAAAAGTTAGTGCCGTGGATCGCGATCTGAATGTACGCATTCTTGTTCAGGAATTTGATGCACTTCTCCAGGCACCACATGCAGCATTGGAGGACCCTCAGGACGAGCGCCATGACCCTGTTCTTCTGCGCCTTCGCCTGCTTCTCCAAGTACATCAAACAATAGCGGATGAACTGCACCACTGCGACGATGAAAGCGCCAAATGCCAAAGAACCGAGATGAAAACGTAAGCAAACTTTCACCGAATTCCATACTCCGCCTCTCTTCGAGGGGTCCTCCTTGTCCTTGTTAGGTTTGAAGAACCAGACTGCGCACGCATGCGCAATGACACATTGGCACAGCGCGACACCGAGGGCGTTGTTCCACAAGAAGCAGAAGAAGGAGTATGCAAACTTGTAGTCCAGCACGTAGCGAGGCTGCCCACACCTCCAACACTTGGGCTCATCCTCGTCGGTGCTGCAGAGGGCGTTGTCCTCGTCTTTCCACACGAATCCAGTGGGCCACTTGTCTGTGCAAGGCCCCGGAATGTCGGCCGTGCCCGCTGCTTCCCAGTAACTCGCATACACGGTTGAGGGGACGTAATCATCTGGAACCTGAGCTATCATGTAGGAAACGCAAATCATCCAAACGATGCACCACAAGACACCGATGACAACTTTCGACACCGGTACAAGTAAGACAGCTGGGTTCTGCATGACAAACATGGCAGCAACCTTGTTGATCGCTATCGCCAATTTGATTTGCCTCATCATGCACCACACGACGAGCAACCAGAGCCCACCGAAGCTCCAGAATATGTACGCTACTATTTTCATGGCGTCGCGGTCCCAATCAGACGCCACCATGTAGCCATTTGTGCACTCTGGCTGCGTTAACAGTTGCAATGGGTAGCACAACTCCCACGTCATGTCCGGATCTGTGGTGTAGCAGAAAATCGAGCTAGCACCAGCCGACGATGGGTTGCGGCAGTAATTCGAGACATCGGAAATACTACCTGGCGAGCCTGCGAACTCTGAAACGTCGTCGTAGGGGTTGTTGTGAGGCGTGTCTGTGGCCCAGTGCTGACAGCTCCTACCACTGCGTGTTTTCGTCTGGTAGCCCACATAGCTCGAGCCATCCCCTGTTAACTCCTCGTCGCCAGTGGCGGTAATAGCTGAGATATCAAAGGTGAAGGAGATCAGGCCACCATCTGCGCACTGCTCGCTCCTGAGATAGATGAACATGCCCCCGATCATGAAGGCGAAGAACACGCACATCAACGACCCCCAGACAGCGATGCCGATCAGGAACCGCAAAAGCACCATGAGCACCATCCCGATTGCAAACGAGAAGATGCTGATGGCGACGAGGGCGTCCATGGCCTCGATAAAGGAACCCACAGAACTGTCGACGGCCCCACTGAGCTCGCTTGCCCCCAGGCCCTCAAGGTTCTCCGCAGTCGCCGAACTGAGAGTATCGACAACCTCTGGAGAAAGCTGTGGCATGCACAGGCCCTCCACCGGCTCTGAGAACTCCATGCCTGGGAAAGGGACGCAGTACTTGGCATCATACGGGCATCGGCTTTCGGGCAGCGCTTCAAACTTGAAGGCCGAGTTGATGATGGCGCTGATGCTCGCGGAGCTTTCATTCAGCCCTGCCCACGCCTTCGCCCAGGGCAAGTCCGCGGCAGGGCTGTACACGTAGGGCCTGGAGCTGGCGAAGCTGCTCGTGGTGGGGACGGTGCACGTTTCAGAGATGCACACCTGCGTAAGATAGACGGTTATTTGGCTCCAAATGTCTTCAGCGCTGAAAGATACCAAGTTTGAGCTTGCGGAAGAGAACAGGGTCGCTCCCGCACTCAGGTCCGTGAGTTCCATCATTCGACCCCCGATCGTGCTTGACATGCTCGACGTGTCGGTCAGGTCTTCCTGCTCGAGGCTTGCATCGCACGTCTCGCAGGCGACCAGGCAGCATGCGCAGAGGTAGTCGTTGTAGTCGGTGGAGGAGGAGCCCCAGATGACCCCCAGTGCTGCACTGGCAACGCTCGAGCAGACGAGCTGCTTCGCAGCAGGCTCAGCCATGGCGGAGACGTTCATCATGAAGATCAGCTTATCTTTGCCAACAAGGTCACGAGGGCTGTCGTCGATCCCGCAGTACCCCCCGCTAAAATCCCTCGGCGTAAACAGTCGAGCAGGATTCGTGTCCGAGAGTGAGCTGAAGGTCACGACTAAAAACCCGACCAGATGCAGGAGCCAGATGATCAGGCAAATAATGTCTGTGCATCCTCGATCCTTCGGAAAGTCGGGGCGGACAGAAGGGGGGGGGGGGGGCGATAGCGAACCAGTTCACGTAGCTGGGTTGCCGGCGCCTCCCAGCATCGGAGGCGCCAATGTATCAAGAAAAGCGACCAACGGCGGGGCCGAAACCTGTTGCACGCAGCAGTTTCCACGCCCCTCTCCCTTTCCAAGTCCTCAGCTCTTGTCCGAATCGAGAGGATGGAGAAAAGATGGTAGAGATGGAAGAGCGAGGACGGAAGGAGTACGCGGGAAGGCAGACGATCAGGCAGATGATGCCCATCCGTAGGGTCTGTCCTTCTTGGGAAGCTCCGCCTCACCTTTCGGGGGCTCTGAAGGTGTGGGGACCCGGCGTCCTGGTGTTGATGGTAGTGATGTACGCTTCCCCACCAGGAAGCATAAAATCTACCAGCAACACCAGGTGCCTCCCAAATGGGGCCAGGGCGAACTGGATCCGAATATCGTACCTCGTCACCAATGCACAAGCGACGTGGGGGTGGAGAAATTCGCGATTCCACTCTCGCCGCATCGCCGATGCATCCGCGATGCGGCGCGATCCTTTGACCCCGCACCCACTCGAGCCCCGCGGTCGAGAGACGGGTGCTTCGGTGCAGGGCGAGCTGCGACAACGGCAACTGGAAATCGATCCCTGGACCCTCCCGGGATCCAAACGCAACAATTTGCCGAGCTGCGCCCAGCCGTGGTGACGAGGGGGCCTCGCGACGGCCAGCTGCCGTTGTCTCACCTCGCCCTCCTCCGAACGCTGGTGCTGACACTTTGGCCGCCCAGGCCTTGGGCGCCGCCGCCGCAGCAGCCGCAGGCCATGCGGCCGCCCGTGCTGGCCAGAGCGCCAGGGCCGCACTTGCTGGGCACCAGTGTATGGGCCTAAGAAGCCCACAGGCCTCGGGCCAAAAGGTCACGCTCCTCCTCCTCCTCCTCCTCCTCCTCCTCCTCCTCCTCCTCCTCCCTGGGCACCAGTGTATGGGCCTAAGAAGCCCACCGGCCTCGGGCCAGAGAACAAGAGGTCACGCGAGCATCGAGCCGGCGCGTGCGCAAGGGAATCCCATGCAGCGCGGGGCGTCGGGTGGCCCGGGCTCTTGTCCCAGGCTCCTCGCTCGGGCGTCCCTTGCCTGCCGGGGATCCGACGGCATCTCAGGGCGCCACCCTCTGCCAATCGCTGCGGGTCGCTCCTGAGGGGCATTGACAGGGAGGGAGTGGCACGGGGAGGGACACCTCGACCTTGAATCGGCGATACACCGCCGATGGATCGGCGACAGGCTCCCGATGGTAAATCCGCACGTTCCTGGGCAGGTTGAGGCTATCGGGCCCCTATCGGCGATCAGTGGCCGATTGGGGACCGGTGCATCCACCCCCCTCCCTCTCGGCAGAGCCAGGAAGGAAGGGAGGAGGAACCGGTAGGGATCGGGGGGCAGGATGCCTTCTGTTGTCCATGCCTCCTTCCATCCCTCCTCCCTTGCCATCGCTCGGACATCGGTTCCCCGCGCATTTGTTGGTTGCGTGCGCTTACTCATCGCAAGATGGTCGAGGATGCACCTCGATGGTCCTTACCGAAAAATGCCCACTTCAAGCCTCTGCCCCTCCTCCCTTCTCGCTTCAATGCCTTGTCTTGTGTTGCCCTCTGCCTTCCAGTCGGACGCAGGATGAAGATGGCTAAGTTCGGCTACACGTCGTTCATTCCTAATCGTGTTCATGTCTGATTGTGTTCGTTTCTAATTGTTCCTGGCCCCCTGGTGGCCAGGAAGAGGCCCAGGATAGCACCAGTAGAAATGAGAAGATCTTGGCCCCCCAAACAAGTAAGAACATTTCGAAGGATTATGAATGAACAACGTGTAAGAGACCAACCAGGCATGTCTGAGAGAAGGCGGGCCCGGTCTCTGGGGGATGTGTCGGGCGCCACGGCCGTTCCAGAGCGTACTGGCGCGCTCTGAGAGCGACGTGTCTTCACCCCGGGCAGGATCGGTCCGCGTCGGATCGGGAATCGGGTCGGGTTCGAACGTGCGTCGGATCGGGCTCCATGGGCACGCAGTCGAAGTCGAATCGGCTGCGCCAAAATGCCCCACTGCGCCACGCGAGCAGCGGGCCGCATCGGACCGTCGGAAACTCGGCGATTCGGATCGGACAGGCCAGAATCGATAACCAATCGGATAGCTGGGATCGAAATTCGGAGGCGAGCGAGAGGGGGAAGCGAGAAGAAGAAGGCCTTCTCAGACGGCGGCGGGGCTTCTCAGAAAGACCCCGGCCCTATGAGAGGTTTTCGGTGTCTCCGGGGAAGGCTTAGAAGACTTCTCAGAAGGCCGGTGGGCTCCGGAGCCTTCTCAGAAGACTTCTCAGAAGACTTCTCAGAGAGCCTTCTCCTCCTCACTTCCCCCCAAGACTCGCCGCCGAGAAATGGACCCTGTGCTAGGCCTGCGCGGCTCCCCAGAAAGGAACCCTTCCCAAGGACCAACTGTTCATCCCGAGTCGTATTTTTGCCGTGGCCCTGGGGGGCCGGGCAAGGGCCATCGAGAGCAAAGAAGTCAGTCGAGAGGTGCCCACGACGCAGCGAGGCCTGCGCCTTGGGCCTTCCTGATCCCTCCCTCCTAGGGTCATGTCGGTCGTGTTCCCCTAAAGGGGGATTTTCGACGAAAAACAAAAAAACCCAAACATAGTCAACAAATTACCCTGGCGACGTACCCAATCCCTGCGCAAAAGCGGGGCGCAAATAGTTTAGGATCCTTTATAAGGGGGCGATGACGGAGCGAGGGTTACATATGTCTGCAGACGGAATTCGGGAGACTCGCAGGACACTGGCTACAGGAAAAGGGCTTGATAAAGCTGATGATTTACAATTCCTGAGCACTCCTAGCCACTTCGAAAACGGGGATCACAGCAGGCCTCGAAAATGGCGACAGTTTCACAGATCGCAGCCCCCCAGGGATGGCGAGGTCTAATTTGAATCTGCGCGTGGCCCTCACTGTGCTGGGCCCCCCAGCAGGCCTCGAAAATGGCGACAGTTTCACAGATCGCAGCCCCCCAGGGATGGCGAGGTCTAATTTGAATCCGCGCGTGGCCCTCACTGTGCTGGGCCCCCCAGCAGGCCTCGAAAATGGCGACAGTTTCACAGATCGCAGCCCCCCAGGGATGGCGAGGTCTAATTTGAATCCGCGCGTGGCCCTCACTGTGCTGGGCCCCCCAGCAGGCCTCGAAAGTGGCGACAGTTTCACAGATCGCAGCCCCCCAGGGATGGCGAGGTCTAATTTGAATCTGCCGTGGCCCTCACTGTGCTGGGCCCCCCAGCAGGCCTCGAAAGTGGCGACAGTTTCACAGATCGCAGCCCCCCAGGGATGGCGAGGTCTAATTTGAATCTGCGCGCACTGTGCTGGGCCCCCCAGCAGGCCTCGAAAATGGCGACAGTTTCACAGATCGCAGCCCCCCAGGGATGGCGAGGTCTAATTTGAATCTGCCGTGGCCCTCACTGTGCTGGGCCCCCCAGCAGGCCTCGAAAATGGCGACAGTTTCACAGATCGCAGCCCCCCAGGGATGGCGAGGTCTAATTTGAATCTGCGCGTGGCCCTCACTGTGCTGGGCCCCCCAGCAGGCCTCGAAAATGGCGACAGTTTCACAGATCGCAGCCCCCCAGGGATGGCGAGGTCTAATTTGAATCTGCGCGTCGCCCTCACTGTGCTGGGCCCCCCAGCAGGCCTCGAAAATGGCGACAGTTTCACAGATCGCAGCCCCCCAGGGATGGCGAGGTCTAATTTGAATCTGCGCGTCGCCCTCACTGTGCTGAGCCCCCCAGCAGGCCTCGAAATGGCGACAGTTTCACAGATCGCAGCAAGGAATCTGCGCGTCGCACTGTGCTCAGGCCTCTGTTTCACAGATCGCAGCCCCCCCCGAGTCTAATTTGAAGTCGCCCTCACTGTGCTGGCCCCCCAGCAGGCCTCGAAAATGGCGACAGTTTCACAGATCGCAGCCCCCCAGGGATGGCGAGGTCTAATTTGAATCTGCGCGTCGCCCTCACTGTGCTGGGCCCCCCAGCAGGCCTCGAAAATGGCGACAGTTTCACAGATCGCAGCCCCCCGCAGGCAAGACAGGAAGAGGCAGGGAGGGAGGAGGAGGAGGAAGGAAGGAGTGGAGACCACACTGCTCTATTCAAAACGAATGCCCAACCAAGGAGGGTTGTGAATAATCCAAAAATAGTCTGGGGACTATTTTGTTTAGTAGTTTTGTTAACTGTTGGGGGTATCTTTTGGGTATTTTTGATTTTTCGCGCAAAATCCCCCTGTAGGGGGACAAGCCCGACCAAATCCGAGGGGGGAACGTTCCGGGGGACCAGCCCAGGGGGGAAGCATCGGAGGGAATCGGCAATGTATCGCTGGTGCATCGTCGATAGAGTCCCGATTGCGAGACCGTACGTTCCTGGGCATGGAGTGCTATCGTTAAGTCGGGCGTGTCCCCCTACAGGGTGATTGACGACCAAAAATAAGAAATACCCCAATAATACCCCAAAAAGGTCAAACAATAATTGAAAACATAGTCCCCAGACTATGTTTGGACTATTGTTTGACTATGTTTGGGGTATCTTTTGCATTTCGTCGAAAAGCCCCCTGTAGGGGGACAGGTCCGACTTACGGCTGTCGGGCCTATGGCGGCAATGAATCGGTGATTGGGGGACCGATACGTCGCCAAATGGTCCCGTCCACCCCTACGGTCGCGAACTGTGGCTTGGCACATCGCGCCGTCAGTTCAGGTCCACGGCGCATGGGCGCGACACGCTACCTGCGTCCCCGTTCGCACGCGTCGATGTCCTGATCTGTTCCCGACCTCCCGCCACGCAGAGCGAAGCGGCACGCTATCCGCTTGCAGAGCAGAAAAAGGTCACCAGGGCTGCCGCAGCGAAGCTCTACGCAAAAGATTATGACCGTAGCGTTGGCAGTGCCCCCCACTTCTCCCCTTCCTCTCACGCTCCCCGATCCCCCCGTGCCCGACCCCCACACGAGCAACATCGGGCCGCGGCGGCGCATGCCCACCAACCGGCGAATAATACTGTCTCATCCTCCTCCATCCTTCCGCCTCATTATGTCCTCTTCCTCCTCCTCCTCCTCCTCATCATCCCTCCTCCTTCTCCCACTCCTCCTCCTCCTCCTCCTTCTCCTCCTCCTCCTGCTCCTCCTCCTCCTCATCCCCCTCCTTTTCCTCCTCATCATCCTCCTCCTTCTCCTCCCATTCCTTCCTCCGTATCACTCCCTTTGTTTCCTCCTCATCCTCCTGTCTCCTATCCTCCGTGGGCTCCCCCTCTCTCCTCCCTTACCCCTCCATCCCCTCCCCCTCCACCCTCCCTGCCTCCTCATGCTCCTCCTCCCAACGACACCCTCCCCCCTCAACAATACCGGAACACGTATGAATGGAACGCGTCTCTCTCTCTCTCTCTGTCTCTCTGTCATCCTTTTCCCGCGCCTATCCCGCATACAGCCTTTCACACGTAGGATTGTCCAGAATTGGCATTCGATTGTGTTATTTCCGACCAGGACATACGGGCCTTTCAGACATTGTGCTTTCGCTGCATTGTTCATTACACTTCAAGATCGGCGCTTCGTTCCCGTCGTTCAGTGCGAGGCTGCCTCTCCAGATCGGGCCTGACTTTGGGATCCGATTCGTTCCTCGTTGTTGCCACCCCCTCTTTTCCTTTCCTCCGCATTCCCGTAGACCTCCTGCTCCCGCCCGAGTTCCTCCTACTCCTGTTCCTGCGGTTGATGTCGCTCCTCATCCTCCTCCTTCCCTCCGCAGCCATGTTAGGCTGAAGGAGAAAAGGGCTATTTGTAGAATGACATACGCAATCATGATTAGCTTTGGCTACCTCCGTGGCCTAGGTCCGAGAGGACTCGGACAGCCGAACTCCCAGCGATCTTCACGATTCCGGGTGCAAGGGTCGGGAGTGAAATGGGCAGGGGTCCTCGCCGGCTCCCTGGTGTGGCACCCAGCAACTCAGCAACAACAGGTACAACACGGAGGAGAAGGCCGTCCTTCCTCATTGTGTCCCGCAAAAGCATCGTTCGCGGCGCAGGTGGTCCTGCGCAAAACGTGCCAACGGGCACATCAATAGCTTGCGAAGCCCTTTTTGGGGGAAGCTGACCGCGGAAGCCATCACCACGTCGCCCGTGCACACCGCAATACCTGGATAGTAGTATCGATGGCACGCAAACTGCTAGGCTGGCACTATGTGAAGCTGCGTCAAGACCATCCGTAGCTTGTTTCGAACGAGACGGCCAAAGGGATATGGAACCATATGGGAGGAAAGGGAAACTCGGGAGCGACGTGGGGGAGGACGGAGGTGAAATGGAATGGGGGGGGAAGGATGTGGCCCACCATCCTGTGGTGTTGGGTCCTCGTTTTGAAGAGACGGTCCTCGCGTTCCTCTTCTCCTCTCTTTTCCTCCTCCTCCCCCTCCTCCCCTCCCTCCTCCCTTTTTCCTGCGTTTCACACACCCAGCACAGCGCTTCGTGGCCCCATAACGTCCCAATGGCACCGCCCGCATGCGCGTGCCACCACCCAGCACAGCCCTTGCTCCTTGGGTTCCGCCCACCCAATACAGCGTTTCGTGGCCCCATAAAGGGCTTCCACCGAAGGTCCCACTGGCACCGACCGCATGCGTCCGCCGCCATCCAGCACAGCCATTGTTCCCTTCGTTTCACCCACCCAGAACAGCGCTTCGTGGTCCCATCGGGGGCTCTACCGAAGGTCCCAGTGGCACCGCCCGCATGCGTACACCACCACCCAGCACAGCCTTTGCTCCCTGCGTTTCACCCACCCAGTAAAGCGCTTCGTGGCCCCATATGGGGGCTCACCGAAGGTCCCAGTGGCACCGCCCGCACGCGTCCGCAACCACCCCGCACGGTCCTTGCTCCCTGCGTTTCACCCACCCAGTACAGCGCTTCGTGGTCCCATCGGGAGCTCCACCGAGGGTCCCACTGACACCGCCCGCATGCGTCCGCCACCACCCAGCACAGCCATTTGTCCCTTCGTTTCACCCACCCAGTACAGCGCTTCGTGGCCCCATAAAAAGGGGCTCCGCCGAAGGTCCCAGTGGCACCGCCCGCATGCGTCCGCCACCACCCAGCACAGCCCTTGCTCCCATTGTTGCACCCCCCCCCGGTACAGCGCTTCGTGGCCCCATAAAAGGGGCTCCGCCGAAGGTCCCCGTGGCACCGCCCGCATGCGTCCGCAACCACCCAACATGGCCCTTGTTCCCTGCGTTTCACCCCCCCTGGTACAGCGCTTCGTGGCCCCATAGGGAGAACCACCGAAAAAGATGTTCACAACTGCGGTACCCACAACTGCATACGGTTGGGTCTCTCGCCTGGCGAATTTTGAATGACGCTTGAACAGATGAGAGCGGACAACCACATCGTACTTCGGCGCGCCAGCACGCAACGAACATGCCGCGAAATGCGCCCCGCAAGTGCGAGCGACAGCCTACGAGGAGGGACGTGGGGGAGCGAGGGGGAGGACGAAGCGAAGAGGCAAAACGCGCTTTGAGGAGAACCCCATACGGCCCAAACGGCCACTTACATCACCCCAATAAAGCACAGCGCAATCCACAGGGAAAAGGGAGAGAGAAAGGAGGATTGGAGGAGGAGGGGGAGGAGGAGGATGAGGTTGGAGCGTCTGGGGGGGCCGCGTGTCAATCCAGCCTATCGCCTCTGTGGGCGGGGCCTCCTGCGGCGCTGACCACCGAGGGGCATTTCAACTGCCTGAAGTGCAGCGCGAGCGAGCGAGCGAGCGTCATTATCCTTAAACGGCGGAGCACGGGTTTTGCTCTCTTGGTGAGCTGACCTATAAAGATGGAAATAACAGGCAGTGAATTTGAACGCCTCGGGGGAGGGGCGGATCAGGCCCAGGGCTAGGAGGGGGTCCAAAAACGGGGGCGCTGGAAGGTCAGCGTTTACTTGACTACGGACGAGCATATACATCGGGTCGCACCAGCAAAAGTAGTGCTTAAGCGAGTCTCGAGCCCCAGGACATCCCCAGACGCACCGCCTGTACGGGTTGCGCATCCTAGACTCGGTGATCCAATCCCCTCCCCAGGTCTTGATGCAAGCACTGCGCCAGGACGGCGGGATGCGATGCATCACCGAGGCAACGGCCGACCAGTCGATCGCCGCAGCGTCGACAGCGTGGACCCCAAACCAGCGCTGGAGGCGCTCTTGCAGGCGGAGGTGGAGGCGCGGGGGACGAGAGTCGGAGCGAAGGTACGAACCGAGGAGGGAGGAGTAAAGGAGGTGCTGTGGCCGCACACGCCGCAGGAGAGCCTGGCGCTCGTCTCCTGCAGCTTGGCTGGCGCGCCTGCGGTGGGCCTCGCGGGAGGCGGCCGCAAGGAGGGCGCGCACGGCCGTCGCGCGGGGGCTCGTGCCGCGGCACGACGCCGCTCTCTCTCTACCGTCACGGCAATGGCCTCAGATTGCCACCAGCTGGGCCACGGGCAGCCACGGACCGTCCGCACCAGGGGCAGGTGTCGCAGCGCAGCACCGCGGAGCTGCCGCGAGGCCGTGCGCCAGGAGCCCAGCGTGACCACCGCCGCCCGCACGAGCGCTGCCTCGCACATGGTCGTGGCGGAGGGGATCTGCGGGCCGGGCGAGGACGAACAGAGTGCCACTTGCTGGGTCGCCCTGGAGGATGCCCGAACGCACCGAGTAGAGCGCAGCCCTCGTACGCGAGGCCGCGAGGGAGACGACCCCGTCGTAGTTGACTGGGGAGGAGGAGGAGGAGGAGGAGGAGGAGGAGGAGGAGGAGGGTTAGCGGACGACGAAAAAGGGGGAGGAAATTAGTATGCGGTGGAGCAGGCGGGAGGAGGTATGATTATGATATGCCATACAGCGAATGCACTCATGGCATCGTTCGACGTCGCCTCGCTTTCGTTATTGTCAACGGTTATTGCCAAGTGTGACAGACGCGGGATAGCAAATGCTCCACCCAAGCATGGCTGCGAAATCCCCTGGCAGCATTGCTTCCAAAGTTCCACCAGTAGGAAAAGCAGGGGAAGAGAACATAGGGACGTAGGCGTAAACTACACTAGCCTGGGCACTGCAAAAGCCTGCAGGCGCCACAACAGGCAAGCGATCCCCGAGACGTGCCTTTTCGCACCACGCCATGCCTGTGAATTCGGCGCCGCAAAAGGTGGGGAACCTGCGAAAGCCACAACATGCTTGTGAGCCCCACTCATGCCGTTCAGCACCACGCCACGCCTGAGAGCACAGCGCCATACCTGCTGAAAGGAGGGGGGTCCGCCCTCCACCCACAACAAAAACGTACGAGTCGAGCGTTAGCGTTACACGGGGCGGGGCGGGCAACAAGCGTTACCCGCCAGAGGGGGAACAAAAAAAAAAAAAAAAAAAAAAAAAAAAACGATCCCTTAGCGGGCCACACATCTGCACGGTCCAGTGGAATCCCCAGCGAAGAACCAGGCCGTGCATTTCAGACGGCACAACGAGGTGGGCCATGGGTATTGCGAAGGAGTGAACTCCCTCGCCCAAAATCCCCGCGGACGTCAGCTGCTGCTCTTCGAATAGATCATCAATCCGAGGACGCTTGCTCTGTGTCGCAAGTGCGGCTTCTACACAGAGACGGGATCCCAAGGCCGCCTTTGCTCTGACTGCCCGAGGAAAACAGAGCTACAACGCGAGTACTTACATTGCCATGGCTCTCAGACCCCACAAGCCCAGAAACGGAGCTGTTGCCGACGTGGTTTTCAGCCCACCCGTTCCTCTCGAACAAATCTACCGCCAGCCCATCCGAGAGCTGGCAGAGCGCAACAGCAGCCCCGAGGTCGCAGCGGCCGGCCGCACTCTTCCATAATGGGTCTGCTGTGAAGGCCCCTCCTGGGCCGTGCGGATTTCACCATCCGCAGCATCGGCGTGGATGATCAGAAGACGTCATGGATCTCCGAAGCCAAGGGCTGGTCCTCCTCCACTTTACCCGGCCTCCTCCTCCTCCTTTTCATCATCCTTCTCATCCACCACCCCCTCTTGCTGCAATACGCACAGCCGCCAATTCGGAATGCGCATCACATGATGCACTTCGGGGATCCAGGTCCGCTCTAGCACACGTCGCAAGATAGGGAACAATTCAGCGCAATGGGAAGGGATCTGGGGGAAGGGGCAGAATGTCAGACATGGCGCGAGCGCACCTAATTTATCCTCCTTATGCTCTGCCGTTGCCTCCCTCCCTCTCAACCCCACCGCCGCGCCGGGGAGCGGGGGCGGGGGCTGGAAAGCCTTTATTCGACTGGGGCCCAGCAGACGCTGCTCGGTGATGACCGCGCGGGCACCGTCTGCACGACCATCGGGCCAGCAGTGGTTCTATCAGGTCGGGGGTGAGGACAACCGCGCGCTTGGGTCAAGAGGAGGACACAAGAGGCTGAAAAGGGACTTGCGGGAGGAGCACCAGGGGGCAGAAGAGGAACAACAGAAAAAAGGGAGTGGACGAGGGAGGTGAAGGAGAGCGAGAAGCAGGGGTAATGCAAGAGTGAACAGGGAGGGAGCAGAACGAGGATATGGAGGCAAGAGGGCGAGAACGAAATAAAGAAAACAGAGAAAGAGGGAGGGACAGAGAGATGTACACACAGATGTATACATACACGCACACACATATATATATATATATATATATATATATGCATAAACATAACTGCATAAACGCTTTGCGCCATGCGCCTTATTCCGGGCGCTTCATGGGAGGAGGCAAGCTGAAGCAAGTCGTCTGGTTTTTCATCTGCCACCTCCGAGCTTTATCCCTACCCCGCCCTTCCTCCTCCTTTCCTCCTCTTCCGCTTCCTCCGGTGGTTGAGTCCATCCTTTGAGGGAGTAAGGGGCGTTCCCATGACACGCCGAAGAAGTCGCAGCAGCTCCGAACAATCGATTTTTAGTCGCTTCCCGAATCCATGGAGGGCTCCAGGCACTCAAGAATCTTCGATCGTCGAACTTCGAATCTAGATTCGATGCCCGTCTCTCTCGATCGAGGACGTTAAACCTCGAGCCCAAGCGTGGAACCAAGATCGTCGGGTCAGCTCGATGTACTTCGTAGGAGGACGCCGTCTGGGCGTTTTTGGGGTTCTTTTGGTTCGTCCTCGGGCCCTCTTGGGCCGTCCTGGGGCCTTCTTGGGCCGATTTGGGGAGCTGCGGCCCTCCTGAGGTCTTCTGAAGCTATCTAGGGCCCTCTTGGGGACCTCCAGTGGCCTTTTTGGGGGTCTCCCATGGCTTTTGTGGGTCTGGCTTGGGGGCCTTCTGGGGGCATCTTGGGTTTCTTGTGGGCAGTCTCGGGGCTCTCTGGGGCTGGCTTGGGGCCCTCTTGGGCCGTCTTCAAACCCTATCCCTATGGGGTGCCTCTTGGGCCGATTTGGGGCGATGTCGGGGGCCTACCGGGCCGTCTTGAACGTTGCGAAGACCCAAAAAGCGGAGATGCTAAGCATCTACATTTCCCCTCGGGAATGGAACGACGTTCGCTTCTTCGGGGCTGTCTTAACGGCCTCCCTCATGGGGCGTCTTGGGGGCCTCTGGAGCCGTCTTCAGACCATCGAAGTTCCAATTGGAGCGCTCTTGTGCTGTCTTGGGTCTCGCTTGCGCCCTTCCGATGAACCTTCTGCTCGCCTTGAATCTGCTCGCAAGGCCCGGCAAGGCGCCCTGGAAGGCCCGGAAGGGCCAGCGGACCTGTTCCAAGGGCGTTCAGGGGGACGCCAAGACGTCCGAAAGGGCGCCGGGAGCGTCCCTCGGGGGGGGGTCCGGTTTAGGGGTGGGGGGTTGGAGGGGGGATCCGGGTAGTAAAAATAGAAAAACATGAGTTTACGCATTAAAAGCACAATGTGTTCCGCATCGGAAGACATGTACTGTCCCACGGATCGTGCCATCCAGGAAGCTCCATCTGCGGTCCCAGAGACACGCTTGGCTTAGCGTCGCATCTTTCACACGGCTCTTGGCCCAAAGGGATCTCCACCTACGGCCCCAGAGGCCAAGTTCGCACTGGGCCCCGCCGTTGGCAATTGCGGCACACCCCATCACGCGGATCGCACCCACAAGGGAGGAGCACGACGTTGAAGGCCCAGCGACAATGTTCGTACAGCGCACGCCCTTTACTCGAATCATGCCCCAAAACGAGCTCCACCACTAGCATCAATGGGCAGCTTCGCATGGCGCCCATGCCCATTTAAGAACATGCCTCTTACAGGTCATGCCCGGAGGAGGTTCACCTGCGGTCTTAGTGGGCGTGTTCGCGTGGGGGCACCCAAATTATCCAGCACACCCTTCATGCGGATCGTGCCCAACAGGAGGGCAACGCACCTGTGCACGCGTGCTCCGCAAGCAGCCATCTTTGCGCATTGCCCCGCCGCGCGCAATTTATGAAAAGAGGGCCCCTCCGTGAGCTAGACATGAGTGCGTGAGAATGAGTCCGTCGCCAAACCAATTCGATGCTTACGGGGCGAAACAATTGTGGTTTCCCGGGGCGCATATTGGAGTTGTTAATTTTCTTTCAGAGGCGCGGGCGGCACAGACCTCACAATGGTCCACAATCCCTTGACGAATGCTCAGGTGCCAGCTGAAGGGTAAGCCTACGGGGGTATTAAAGTAGCATTGCAGGAACACTCGCCAAATCGAGGGCGGCCAAGAGGGGGGCGTCCAAGAGGGGGGGGCGCAAATCATGGCCCGCGGCATGTGCGCGGCCCCAGAGGGGCCAGGGACGGAGTGAAATAAGAAAAGGCGCCATGCCATGATCCCCCCCCTAGTCTTCACCCCCTCTTTGCCGCTCCCGCTCCCGACCAAAAAAAGCAAGCCCGGCTGGTTGAATTAACGTCACCGGTATACAACTGCCGTGGTTGGTCGCTGCGCAATTATCTAGCACTGCATCCTGCCCGTTGCCTTTGCCGCTGCGCGCGCCTACAACGAATCTTGCAAAACAGCGTGGCGGCATCCGTTGCCAAGACCGAGCCATTAGTGAACAGTCGATCGCCTTAAACCTGCGAGGGTGCAGCAGAAACTCTGCTGCTGCGAGCAGAAACCAAAGTCGCAATCCCAGCTGGTTGAATTAACGTCGCCGGTATACAGCTGCCGTGGTTCGTCGCTGCGCAAGTATCTAGCACTGCATCCTGCCCGTTGTCTTTGTCGCTGCGCTTCCCTAAAATGAAACGCGCAAAACAATGTGCCGGCATTCGTTGCGCCAACGGCAAGACCGAGCTAGTCGTGACCAGTTCATAACCATAAACCTGCGAGAGTGCGGCAGAAACTCTGCGGATGCGAAAAGACGCCACGGCAGCAAGCCCGGCTGCTTGAATTAACCTCGCCGGTACGCCGCTGCCCTGGTTGCCCACTGCGCAATCATCTAGAACCGCATCCTGTCGGTTGTGTGTTGCCAGCGCGCTGCCATCAACAAGAAAAGCGCAAAACAGCGTGGCGGCATGCGTTGCGCCAGCGGCAAGACCGAGCTATTAGTGAACGGCCAATCATCGTAAACATGCGAGGGTGCAGCGGAAGCTCTGCTGATGGGAAACGGCGCCAAGGTAAAAGTCTGGCTGCTAGAGTAAGCCTCGTCAGTAGTATGCCGCTGCCCTTGTTGCCCACTGCGCAAGTGCCTAGCGCCGTATCCTGCTGAATGTCTTTGTCAGTGCGTTGCCAAAAAAACGAAAAGTGCAACTAGCGCGGCAGCATGCGTTGCGCCAGCGAAGAAACTAAGCTGTTTGCGACCAGTCAATCATCTGAAACCTGCGCGGGTGTCTTCTGCAACAGCAGAAGCTCTGCTGTTGCAAGAGACACGCCGAGGCAGCATGCCCGACTGCTTGAATATGCCTCGCCGGAATGCCGCTGCCTTGGTTGGTCAGTGAGCCGGGATCCCGCCACCTCCGTGTGACCATCTCTCCTCCCCACTCCTCCATTCGCACGCTCGCCCAGCAACACGCTTGCGGGGGTTCTCTTCCCCCTCGCTCGCTTCGCGAGAGCGTCGAGCAGAAACATTGAGTGGTGGTTACTGTTACCGCGTGCCTCCAGACTAACCGCATACATGGGGGAGCATTGTTCAAAATGGCAAACGGATGCTGGAACTCCCAATGCCGCCCCCTGCGCGGGGCGATCATGCTTCGCGGAAGCAACTATCAACGGGGAAACATGCACCATCACCTGTGGGGCTCCTGCCTTAACTGCGTGGCCAGTCGCAGCTTCGCAGCATCTCCGCTTACGTAGAGCGTGACATGAGCTTGAACGACAAGATCATCAAGCAAACGCCGATCCACCGCCGGCTATGCCTCGGCGGAGCGCTCGACGCCTCCACCTGCGCCGGGGAGAAGAAGTCATCCAATATGGTCCTCACGTCTGCAGCGATTGCCTCGTCAGCGAACACCGATGTGATTATTCCCGCAAGTACCCCGCACGCTGTACAGCCAGTAGTCCGAGAGCGCTGCCCTTGAGATCCCTTTGGCGCTGATTTGGATGATGTTGAACTTCACCTGGCTGCACCACTTGCGTTCAACAGTGGTAAAGCGCATGGACTATGGACCCGCACGCGGTCGATTCGAACAAGCTGTTGTCGACCGAGGCTGGCGCGTGCAAGGCCGACCTCGCTGCGTACTCAGCTTGGATCACGCCGGCGCTCTGTTCCCAGATTGGACAACTGACGCGGCCGAAGGCCCGGGACCCCCCATGAGGTTGAGCGCCGCTGCCAGGCCCCCAGAGTGGCGAGGGGAGCCCTTGGCCGATGAGCGCGCCTTCGGCCACGCCGCTGGCAGCGACCCCCAAGCGATGCTGGCGCTGTCCGTGTGCGCGCCGTCGAAGGAGCGCAGCCGCCTCCTGCGCAGCCGGCTCCGCGACGCTCACCCCGCCCGCGCCGCCGCGCGGCCCGTCGGGGGCGGCGCTTCCAGCCGAGAGCGCATCGCCGCCCGCCGCGCCTGAGGCCCACGCGGCGTGATCGATGCAGCCTCTGTCCGCGGCCCACGCAGCGTGGGCCGACAGCGCGCCAGCGGAGAGCGCCGTCGACGAGGCCGCGGCGACGCCATATGCTTGGAGATGGCCGGCGCTGTCGCTGGACGCGTGAAGCTCTCCTCTCCATAGAACCGCATCCTGCTGGTTGCATTTGCCAGCGCGCTGCCATCAACAAGAAAAGTACAAAACAGCGCGGCGGCATGCGTTGCGCCAACGGCAAGACCGAGCTATTAGTGAAGGGCCAATCATCTTAAACATGCGAGGGTGCAGTGGAAACTCTGCTGATGGGAAATGACGCCAAGGTAAAAAATCTGGCTGCTAGAATAAGCCTCGCCAGTAGTACGCCGCTGCCCTCGTTGCCCACTGCGCAAGTGCCTAGCGCCGCATCCTGCAGAATGTCTTCGTCAGTGCGTTGCCAAAAAACGAAAAATGTGCCTTGTGCGGCAGCATGCGTTGCGCCAGCGAAGAAACTAAGCTGTTTGCGACCCGTCAATCATCTGATACCTGCGCGGGTTTCTTTTGCAACAGCAGAAGCTCTGCTGTTGCAAGAGACACGCCGAGGCAGCAAGCCCGACTGCTTGAATATGCCTCGCCAGAATGCCGTTGCCTTGGTTGGTCAGTGTGCCGGGATCCCGCCACCTCCGTGCGACCATCTCTCCTCCCCACTCCTCCATTCGCATGCTCGCCCAGCAACGCGGTTGCGGGGGTTCTCTTCCCCCTCGCCCGCTTCGCGGGAGCGTCGAGCAGAAACATTGAGCGGTGGTTACTGTTACCGTATGCCTCCAGACTAACCGCATACATGGGGGAACATTGTTCAAAATGGCAAACGGAAACTGGAACTCCCAATGCCGCCCCCTGCGCGGGGCGATCATGCTTCACGGAAGCAACTATCAACGGGGAAACCTGCACCATCACCTGTCGGGCTCCTGTCAACTGCGTGGCCAATCGCAGCTTCGCAGCATCTCCGCTTACGTAGAGCGTGACATGAGCTTGAACGACAAGATCATCAAGCAAACGCCGATCCACCGCCGGCTATGCTTCGGCGGAGCGCTCGACGCCTCCACCTGCGCCGGGGAGAAGAAGTCCTCCAATATGGTCCTCACGTCTGCAGCGATTGCCTCGTAAGCGAACACCGATGTGATTATTCCCGCCAGTGTCCCGCACGCTGTACAGCCAGTAATCCGAGAGCGCTGCCCTGGAGATCCCTTTGGTGCTGACTTGGATGATGTTGAACTTCACCTGGCGACCCCCCTGAATGCTGAACCACTTGTGTTCAACAGTGGTAAAACGCATGGACTATGGACCCGCACACGGTCGACTCGAACAAGCTGTTGTCGACCGAGGCTGGCGCGTGCAAGGCCGACCTCGCTGCATACTCAGCTTGGATCACGCTGGCGCTCTGTTCCCAGATTGGACAACTGATGCCGCCGAAGGCCCGGACGCCCCCATCAGGTTGAGCGCCGCTGCCAGGCCCCCAGATATGCGAGGGGGGCCCTTGGCCGATGAGCGTGCCTTCGGCCACGCCGCTGGCGACGACCCCCAAGCGATGCTGGCGCTGTCCGTGCGCGCGCCGTCGAAGGAGCGCAGCCACCTCCTGCGCAGCCGGCTCCGCGACGCTCACCCCGTCCGCGCCGCCGCACGGCCCGTCGGGGGCGGCGTTTCCAGCCGAGAGCGCGTCGCCGCCCGCCGCGCCGGAGGCCCACGCGGCGTGATCGATGCAGCCTGTCCGCGGCCCACGCAGTGTGGGCCGACAGCGCGCCAGCGGAGAGCGCCGTCGACGAGGCCGCGGCGACGCCATATATGCATGGAGATGGCCGGCGCTGTCGCTGGAGGAACGCGTGAAGCTCTCCTCTCCATGGAACCTGGTAGTTGGTGGTATCCTCGCCGACGCCGTTCTGGATCGAATCAATCGGGGAGAAGAAGCCCTCGGAAGTGTAAAATGGGCACGGACTTCACCATCTGTGCATTCCGTTGGGGTGATTGTTGCATCCTGGGGCCCCGGGTGGGGCTCTTTGGAGGCCTCTCGGGGGCGCCTTTGGGGCGTCTTGACGCGTCTTCAAATCATCCGGGGACGTGAAGGGTGGCCAGCGCACATGGTGGACGGGCTTGGCTGGGTTGGGTTTTTTTTTGATTGCTCTGGAACTCGCTGGGCCCCCACGGGCCCCCGGGCCCCCCCATGCCGACCAGGGGCCGCGGGCCGCGGTACCCCCCTCCCGTCCCGGCGCACTCCAGGGAAGAGGGGCATCGGGTATCGGTACCGTTCCGGCCCTCAGGTAGTTCCTGCAATCCTGAGAAGGCGGCGGCCCTGGTCCGCAGCAGGCCCGAGGCGAGGCTCGCCTCTCGAGCCCTCAGCGTCAGGCTCCTATATGCCGCCACGCTGGTTCCGGGCAGGCTGTGCTGTGCTGTCCTGCAATCCTGAAGAGAACCTTGGCCGAGGTGGCCATGGGTTTCAGGGAACGCTCCGGAGTCTCCATGGGACTGCGTGGACATGGGGCCATTTTCTCGCAACTGCGCGACCCCCCTCCCCCGTCCAGTGTTGCGTCGAAGCCCCAAGGGCGGTAGCGACCCCGCCAAAGGCTGACTCTGGATGGGGGCGGCTGCTGAATCGATCAGTCGCGTTTCTTCCAAAGGTTTTACGCATGTATCTACATTTCTACGGACAGATAGATGCACCTATATGACTGGACATGTATGGCGACATCCCGTTTGTTCTGCTACTGGCCTCTTGGTCCATGGCTTTCCCTGGCACTGGGGGCAACCCCAGCAAGACCTCCATCAATGTCACCTTCAAGCGTTATCCCTCAGAAAGGAAGCCACGGTCCATCCACACATGCTCGCACAGGCCGTTGATCATCAGAAAACCGATTTGTATCAACCGCGGCCCCGCCAAGAGCCTTCCCAGAGATGTGCTGGTATCCCCAAAATCGCGAAGCCTTGGCGATTGGATCCAGAGTTCCGAGGACCCCAAGATGTCTCAGGCGCAAAGGGCCGGAACACCTCAAGTCAGGGCATCTCGGAGCCTGGCTCTCTGAGGATGTCTCAAGCGAAATGGGCCTGAGCACCTGGAGAACCGCATCCTGGAACCCAAAATGCGAGGATGCCTCAGGCGGAATTGGACAGAGCACCTCAAGTCAGGGCATCTCGGAACGATCGAAACCGGCCTGAGCACGTCGAGAACCGCATCTTGGAACGCAACATGGTGAGGGCATCTCCATGGTGAGGGCATCTCAGCCGAAACGGGCCAGAGCACCTCAAATCAGGGCATCTCGGAGCCATGGATTCCGTGGATGTATCCAGCGAAACGGGCCTGAGCACCCCGCGAACCGCATCTTGGAACCCAAGATGCGAGGATGCCTCAAGCGAAACGGGCCAGAACACCTCAAGTCAGGGCATCTCGGAGCCATGGATTCCGAGGATGTATCAAGCGCAACGGGCCTAAGCACTTTGCGCGAACCGCATCTGGGAGCCCCAAATGCGAGGATGTCTCATGCGAAACGGGCCAGAGCACCTCAAGTCAGGGCATCTCGGAGCCGGGGGTTCCAAGGATGCCTCAGGCGGAATAGGCCTGAGCACCTCAACAACCACATCTTGAAAACCAGACTTGTGAGGATGTCTCCAGCGAAACAACCAGAGCACCTCAAGTAAAGGCATCTCGGAGCCTGGGATTCCGAGGATGTCTGCACTGAGACGGGCCAGAGCCTCTGTGGCCCATGGGCCGCACCGAGCTCTGAAGAAGGCGACAACCCCTCTGGTCCAGAACTGCGCCACAGGTGGCCAGCGATGACCATGCAGCTCTAATAACATACACGCCCACCTGCTAAAACAAACGGGCCGTTCGAGACATCCCTGCAATATGGTCGCGAACAGGCCCGTGAAACACCCTTGATCGGCAGAGCACCTGTCCGTATCACAAGGCACGATCGAGCCGCGTAATTACAGCTCTGGCGACGATGAGCGTCCCGATACAATGGACAACAAAAGTAACTCACTGTAATGCGAAAGCATTACCTTTCCTCCATCTCTTCCTCCTCCTCATTCTCCTACGCTCCTCCTCATCCTCCTCCCTCTCATTCCCCCTCCTTCTCCTCCTCCTCCTCCTTCTCTTCGCACTCCTCCTCAACAATTGTTCAGATTTGCGAGGACGTCTCAAGCGAGACTGGCCGGACCACATCGCACGCGGAATCTGTGTACCCAGAAATTCGAGGATGTCTTAGGCCTGGCCAGATCACCTGGCGGGCGGCATATGCAAACCCCGAATTCCGAGGATGTCTGGAGCGAAACGGGCGAGGCCACCTCAAGTCACGGCACCTCCGAACCCAGAATGTGTTCAAGTATTTCAGGCGAGATGGGCCAGAGCACCTGCCGCGCGACACCTGGACGAAACGGGCCAGACCATCTCAGATCTGGTCATCTCGGAACACGGACTTGGAAGGACGTCTCAGGCGAAACGGGCCCGCTCAGCTCCAGGTTTCGAGAATGTCTCGACGCGCGGGACCTTCGGACGGCACTCGATCTCACCACAACCATACCCCCAGGCACCGGGCGGGCAACACGGGAACACCCCACAACGAAACGTGCATGACGGCAACAAACGGGAACACACACACACATACACACACATATATATATATATATATATATACCCACCCAGAGTGTACACCTTTATGGTCAATGTATGTGCGTGCGTTTCTACACACCAAAAACCGCACACGAAACGCACCCCCATTCCCAGGCTTATTCCCCTCTTCGTGTCACTCATCCTTCTCTTCCCTCGCCCAAGCGTCGGTCCCGCGGCAGAACGCGGAACTTCCTGTGCTGCCCGAGCAGGGTCAGAGCATAATCTGTCTCGAGGACCTGCAGGGGCATCAAACAAATATCGCCAACGGCAAAGCAAACAAACTACATAGACTAGAAATGCCAGCCTACAAACGCAGCGGGCTGACGCGACAACGCACGCAGGACGCGCGACACAGGCATCCCAACCCTCCAAGTCAAGCTCAAGGAGAGAACCCGCACCTCCGCGCTTCACCCCTCACGTTTATCTGACCAGCGTTGATGTCTACCACTGCGCGTTGCTGCTGATTGCTCATGTTCACCACATGATGTCTGGCCCCTGCTCGTCGTCCTCATGATCGACAAACATCACACTCCGATCCACGCACCTCGCGCGAGTGACCTGTCGAACATACTGCGTCCGTTGGGAAGTCCGTTTCAACGTTTTCGTCCGCAATCAGTATGTGCCTGGAGGGTCTTATTGTTTCTAACAGGTTGACGTCGCGGTGACGTTGGAGTTGTCTGACAACGCGTGGTTCGTTCACCCTTCACGATTTGCGGTGAAGCGTTGCGGCAACCACTACAATGCAAAGCATGCGAAGCAAGGGCAACATAATTCAGCCTAGCCCAATACGAAAGAGAGAAATGTCGTGCCGCGCAAAGAGATCATAGCCATTACAAAGGAATGGCATGGGTTGCAATCCACTGTATGTCGAAGTTGAGGAAGGCAACGCACATAAAAGCCAAGCAGAGTAAAGCAAACCAGAACACAACAAATCGACAAACCACATCAAGCAACGCAATGCAACACCATGCGCGGCAACGCTACACACCGAAAAGGCCACACTACGGAACGCAATGCAAACAAATGTCGCAATACCTGTGACACCTCATATCTAGAACTAGCGTGATTGAACACTGTTCAAAATCGCAGATGTACGACGTTATTGCATGTTGCTTAGCGCTAACACGCATCTAATCGAGGTGTGTGTATGAGTGTGTGTGCTTGTGTGTGCGTGCGTGTCTTAGGCGGAGTCTCGGGGATAACCCACGGCCTAATGGACTGACAACTGTAAGGTCGTGACGCCGTGCCTCCGCATCCGTCAGCTTTACAGCACGGCGCGGGGGAGTGACATGGACGTGCTTACAGTGTGCTGGAGGATGGCGCGCTCAGACGTCAGCTACACATCGATCCCCGGACAATCCCCTTGGGGTCCAAACGCACCGGCTTTCCGAGCTGCGTCCATCCATGGCGACGAGGCTCCCTCGCCGAAGGCCAACTACCGTTGTCTCAACTGGCCTTCCTCTGAGTATGGGCGCCCTCCAGGAGTTGCATCATACTTCACAAAAACCTCCATTGCGCACGTGAACTCATCAGGACAGGCAGGATGAGGAGACTCCCATGCCATCTTGCTGGGTCCTGCGAATCGCCGCTCATCGACGCTAGCCGAGGCTAGGTGGACGCTGGTCGACGCGGCTCGACGCCAATCGACGCCACATCGGCGCGGCCTCATCGATTACCACACGCAAACCGACGCTATCGCACTCTGAAGACGGAATTGCGAAGGTATGCAAGGCTCCCATGATTTGCTACCTAAGTAAACTGACTTCGAGCACCCCTACAGGGGGATTTTGGACGAAAATTGCTTTAAAACAAAAAAACGCCAGAAGTACTCCAAACATTCCCAAAAATTGACAAAAATAGTCCGCAGACTATTTTTTGACTAGTTTTGAACATTCCCCCTGTAGAGGGACAGGCCCGACTTCACCCTACATACCAAAGGCTGTCACGGCAGAGCTGCCACAGCTCGCCGGCCAAGTGCCGTGCCGAGGACTCTGGGGCCGCAGGCACCTCCCACCGACGCATCGGTAATGCCACGGCAGAGGGACGAGTAGGCGACGAGGAGTACGATCGCCAAGGTCGACTGATCCTGAAAACGGATGGAAAGGGCCCTCCACGATGAAGCAGCCGACAGACAGGCAGACACCCAGGCAGCCTTTGTCGGGCAGGAGCTCGGCATGGCGCGAGGCTGGGGATCACAGCGTTTCGCCCCCGCTCCCCCGTGGAGCTGGACAAGAAGAACAAGAGAGGGAAGACACATGCGGTAGAACCAGAGCGGAAGAACATGTGGACAAGAATAACAAGAAGAACAAGAGAGGGAAGTCCCGCCCACGGACAAGATTCGTTCAAGGACTCTGCGGAGGAAAGCGGAGAGGCTGCCGTGGTGCGGCGCCACGGCTCTCCCGAAGGGGAGATCCGAGGGGGATATCGCCGAATCGTGTTGGGCCAGGGACCGCGCCGCTCGCGGCGCTCCCATCATCGAGGCTGCCCCCGCCACCCTCTGAGACCCAGACTGCTCCCCTTCCCCTCTCCATCTCCTCTCCCGTCCTCTTCCTCCTTCCCTGCCTCCTGCTTCTCGTCCCCCCTTCCTGCCCCCTGCTTCCCTGCCCGTTTCCTCTCTCCTTCTCCTCCAAGGGAACTGGCTTGCGTTCTCGATGGTGAGACGTGGAAGACGGTGCCGGTGAGAGATGAACACTTCAGGGCTTGGTGGCCTTTCCGCTGACCATCTGCCGACACCATTGGGGCCAGCAGGCAGGTGAGACTCATCTTCCCATGTGGTCGGTGCGGTGGGGGAGCAGGGTGGGGGCTGGAAAGACGGGAGGGGGGTGCACGCTCACCTGAGGAGGTGGGTCCGAGCGGCGATCTTCCCGTGAGACGTGCGTAGGAGACCGTCGTGGTAGCATGGGAGACCTCCGAGACAGCGTACGAGGTCCAAAGAGATCCCAACACTGCACACGCCAAGCCTCCAGATACGCCCCACAATGACCCAGAATTGGCCGCAGACGGCCCACACCATCAGGTGAATGCGGTTCCCCAGTGCTGCTTGCTTGACATGCTTTTTGGCAGATGATTGCCTTACAACTTACTAGGGGGCCTCGAGACGGCGAAGGCTGGCCCAACCACTTTCCAAGTCGGCCAAGGAAGGCCTCCACGAGAGTCCAGCACGCACAATCAGCCGCCAACGTAGCCGCAAGTACCCAATGAAACCTAGTAGGCTTATCGTACTTAAGGACCACATCCCAGAAATAATTTCGAGCACCCGGAAAAGTGTCCAAAGAGTGTCGAAAGAGTGTCGAAACAGTGTCGGCCGAGTGTCCCCCAGGGCCCGACACGTGAACACCCTCGAGTTTTAGTATTTTCTGGGGCGCTCAAAATTCTTTCTGGTGGGCGAGGCTATAGTAGGTTCGAACATCACAATAGTAGGCCCCGTGATGGGTATCACGGTCGCCCAGGAGGGCCACAAGAGGCGCCACAGACGCCCAACGAGTGACCCAGAAGTGCCACGAGCCGCGATAATAACCACTCAACACAAGCTACCCTCCCCCTCCTCCTCGTCCCTCTCTCTCCCTCTATCCCTCTCTCTCTCTCCGACACACACACACACACACTCTCTCTCTCTCTCTTTATATATCTATATATGTATTAACAAATGTATGACCATCTCTGTTTCTCCCACCTCGTCCTTTCCCATCCACCCCCACTGCTCCTGGCCCCGGTGTTGCTGCTTTGCTGCCCTTCTCCTTCGAGCTGTCCCCGATCCGCACCTGCAGTGGCCAGCAGCAGTCTGTGATAAGCAATATCCAGGGATCGGCTGCCGGCGGGTGTAGCGTCAGCCTCATGAGCCTCCCGTCGCATGGGGGGAGACGAAGAGTGCGCAAATCTGTCGACCTCGTCACCCAAGGCAAGCTGCTCGAAGAGCAACTCCAGGTACATACGCGAGACAAACGTGTGAAGCTCGCGCGGCATCCGGTCATCGTCGATGCACTGGATATGGATTTGCGAAGATGCAGAGATACAAAGAGAAAGAGAGAGAAATAACGAGAGCGAGAGAGAGAGAGAGAAACAAAAAAAGATAACGAGGAGAGAGAGAGAGAGAGAGAGAGAGAGACAGAGAGAAATGGAGAGAACAAGACAAAGTCAGAGAAGGCCAGTGAGGGCAAGAGAGAGGTGTGTGTGGGGGGGGGGGGTAAATCAGATACCGAAGCAGCTTCTCCTTGAAAAAGCGGCTCCAGCCGCGGCGACAGAAGCCCCCTGGAGGTCCTACAAGAAGACGTGAGCGAAGGAATGGTGTCTGTAGTGGTATGCTTGCTCTCCCCTGATGAGGCTGACGGCGACATGAAGGGGGGCGCGCGAGGGGGACGAACAAGCGTAACACGACAATCGCAGCATGATCACGTAAGTCTGCCAGCCCGGGACCAACATGGAAAACTGCCATACCAATGATACTAAACACCATAACTTGATACCTCCAAAAATGTACGAAACGGTATAGCAGGACCGAAAGCATGCTTGCCTAGCCAAACATCGGCATTCCCAAAAACTGGCATTGCAACTGACGTATCGAAACTTCATGTGTCAAGCGTGGCATAATAAGATCTCCGCGAACAGATGCGCTGTCTCGGGCCGCCATGACTGTACATGGAAAGTGTACAGGTGCGAGGAGGTGGACAAAAGAGAGAGACAGAGAGAGAGATTGGTAAAAAGCGTCCTGCTGCCCCAGTCCCGAGAGAAACTCCACGAAGTCGTCGCGCTTCAGCCTCAGATGTCGCGGAATGGCAGGGTGCCAGCGAACAGCGGGGCAAGAGGGCGCAAAGGCCCCGGCCTCCAGGAGCCGCGACACGAATCGCTGTGTGAAGGAGGAGGAGGAGGAGGAGGAGGAGGAGGAGGAGCAGCAGGAGAAGGAGGAGGAGGAGCAGGAGGAGGGGGAGGAGGACGACAAGGAGGGGGAGGAGCACGAGGAGGACGGGGAGGAGGAGGAGGAGGAGGAGGAGAAGGATGAGGAGAGGAGGAGGAGGAGGAGGAGGAGGAGGAGGAGGAGGAGGAGGAGGAGGAGGGTAGGAGGAGGAGGACGGGGAGGAGGAGGAGGGTGATAAGATTCCTGTTGCGCTGTTCGGCGGCCTCCCAGGGGCTCTCCCACGGGCCCCTGGGACCGTCCAGGAGCGGCTCGGGATGATCCGCTGGCACCGCGGGAGAAGCCCTGGGGTCCAGGATCCGTCTCCGCCGAGACCCGCCTGCAAGAACTGCACGCGTTGGATCGCAATTCCTCCTCCTCCTCCTCCTCCTCCTCCTCCTTCTCCTCCTCCTCCTGTTTGTGGGGGCTGCTTTCGGGCCCTGGGGCTAGCAGAGGACAGACCACCAGCGGCTCAGGGCATGCTGCTCGAGGTCGGAGCGAGAGGTGCAGGGCGCCAAATCGCGGAGAGAATCACAGCAGCGTTTCATGAGGGAAAATCCTTGCTCATTCAGGGGGGGGGAAGGGGGAATAGGGAGTAGGGAACAGGAGGAGAAGTATGAGTTGGAGCCGGAGTCGGAGGAGGAGGAGGAGGCGTTCGTTGATGTTTGCTCCCTCTTTGCCCTCGTCGCCGCGCCTGGATCCGCCTCGAGATCCCGATTACAACGCGCTCCAGGCCCCGTGACCAAGTCGATATTTGGGAAACGGGAAGAAGGGAGGGGATAACATAGAGGCGCGCCCGCCATATCACACCTCCGAACCGCATGCCCGCGATAAGAAAACATCCCCGCTTCACCCGTGAGTCATGATTGTTCGTGGGATACTTACATTGGATAGGCGGGCGGGTCGGCGATGCCGAACTTTACTACCACCAGGGAACGTGCGAATCCTACATTGAATGATCATATCATGTATTGCCCTCAATTGTAATCAGCAGCAACCTTTGTTGTCATCATAGCCCTCCCGTGGACACCCATTCTGGCACACACCTCACACGGTTCGTGGCCCCATGTGGTGCCCTAGTGCTCTGCCTGCTAAGTGTGGCGAGGCCACAGCGAAAGCACCAGACGATGGCGATCTGGAATGCTACTGGTTTCGGGTGCCCGCACCCATGGATTAGCGATCCATGGATTCGGCGCGCGGTCGCCAAACCCATGGATCGGGGGAGGCGCCCTTCCCAAAATGCGGCCGATGTCGCCTCGTTCGGCGGCGGAAATCCGCGATTTCCCGTGGAAATGGGACCCGTCGCTAGCCACATTGATCCATGTTTGCGATCCCCTGATGGATGGAGGCCGAGTTCGAGGGACGCAAGGCCCACGTTCGAGTCCATCTCCGACATCGCCTGTCACTGTTCGCCCCAAAATCCTTAATATCCGTCTCATTATTTCCTTCTCTTCCTTCACTTCTTCCGTTTTCCTCTTGGTCCCATTCCTTCTCTTGTCTATATCTCTCTCATCCCTCCTCTCTTCCTCCCTCCGAGCCCTGGCTAAACCTGTTGATCGCCGTCATTGGTGATCATCCCCAAAGAGCAACCATGGTTACTCCTACACGACGAGTAGAAAATACAAATAATGTTCTAGGTCCGACACTTTGATTTCAATGGGAACCTCCTCCTCATCTTTCTCCTGCCTCTCCTCGTCGTCCTCCTCCTCCTCCTTTTTCTCCTTATCCTCCCATCCTTCTCTTCCTTCTCTTCGTTTCTCCCTCTCTTGCATATTGTCCTTCTCTTCTCTGTCTCCCCCTCCTTCTACCCCTTCCCCAAAAAGCGAAGTGTGGCTATACCACATTATTTCACACGTGTTTCGCCCCTCCCATCCCGCCAGGAAGGCCCCTCCGGAGCGAGCGGGGTGTCGCTGTACCATACTATTCCTCGGGTTCTGTGATCGCCCCACCCCATCAAGGGAAGGCCCAACCAGAACCGAAAGCGAGGAGGATTTCTCAGGCTTCGTGCTCCTACATCCGTACACCGTACATGCCTACATGCGACTTGCCAGGAACATCTTCAATCATCCTCCCAGGGTCCCGAACTGTATTATCCCCATGGTGTGATTATCACCGGCACAGGGTTACCCTTCCCACCCAATCCCTCCCATCGCGCTGAGTTTCCTCTATCTGTCGCCGGGTCTGCTGGCGGACTTGGTTCCCCCAAGATGACCCGGTCGTGTGATGCGCAATCAGAAAGGTGACTTGTGTAAATTGGACGAGGACGTGGCGGATGACCAGTCCTCCTCCTCCTCTCCTCCTCCTCCTCCCCCTCCTCCTCCTCCTCCTCCCTCCCCCTCCTTGTCCTCCTCCTGCTCAAAGAGGAGGATGAGGAGGAGGAGGAGGAGGAGGAGGAAGAGGAGGAGGAGGAGGAGGAGGAGGAGGAGGAGGAGGAGGAGGAGGAGGAGGGGAGGGGGCGCTGGGAGGCAAGGGGGGCGGGGCGGGGAGCGGAGGCGGGAGGGGAGGACAAAGCACGGGGACGGGACAGAGAGAGGCACCGAGAGGGCACCAAGGCGGGCCTCGACTCCGGTTCCGAGTCCTCGCCCGCCGTCTCCACACTCCGCTCCCCTCCGCCGCCCTCCCCCTGGTGCTCTCGCTCCTCCCGCTCCTGCTTCCCGCGCCTCCTGCTCGAGACGACGATGCTGCTCCTTCTCGTCGTCCTCCTTGCTCGTCCTCATCCTCTTTCGTGGAGGCGTGAGACTCGGGTTCGGGGCACTCCGGCGGAATCAGGCGGGCCAGGAGGCCATCAAGACGGCCGAACATGGCTCCACGATGGCCCCCAAGACGGCCCAAGAGGCGCCCAAGAGGTCCCCACCGGGCCAAGAGATCCCCAAAGGGGGCCTCCAGGAAGGCCCGAAGAGGCCGAAATCAGTGATGGTCCAATGATGTTTGAAAAACTGTGGCATTTGCTTCTATTTGGCGTTCCGACAGCCCGAGGCGGCCCAGGAGTCCTCAAAGATCGCCAAAAGATCGCCCAAGAGGCCTGAAAGATGGCCCCAGAACGGCCAAAGAGGCCCCCAAAACGGCACCAAGGAGCCACAAGACGGCCCAAGAGGCCTCCTTCAACACGCCCAATCTAGCCTCCAAGACGGCCCTGGAGCACCCCAAAAGGGCCCCCAGTCGGCCCAGAGAGGCCCCGAAGACGGCTTCCGACGGCGTCAGACGGGCCAAGAGCCCACTAGGACAGCCCAAGATGGCTCGAAGATACCCCAATACGGCCCAAGAGGCCCCCAAGCGGTCTCAAGACGGCCCAGAAAACCCCCAAGAGGGCCTCCAGGAAGGCCCGAAGAGGCCTAACAAAAATTGTGGCAGTTGCTTCTGTTTGGCCTTCCTATGGGCCGAGACGGTTCAAGAGACCTCAAGAGGCCTTCAAGATGGCGCAAGAGGACTCCAATATGGCCCCAGAACGGCCCAAGAGGCCCCCAAGACGGCCCCAAGAGGGCCCCAAGACGGCCCAAGAGGCATCCAAGACGGCCCTGGAGCACCCCACCAGAAAGGCCTCCAAGACGGCTTCCGACGGTGTCAGACGGGCCAGGAATGCCCGACAACAAATTGTCAAAACTGCCAAAGAGGCCCCCGAGAAGCCCCCCAAAGGCCCCCAAGAGGCCCCCAAGATGCCTCCAAGAGGCTCCCAGGAAGCTCCCAGGAGGTCCCAAGAGTGCCCCCAGAGGCTCCCAAGATGCTCCCTCCTTGTTCATCCTCATCCTCCTGATCTTCCCCGCCATCCTCCCCCAAGTGCTCCCCGAAGGGTTTCCACAACGGTTGGGGGAGCACATGGTCCGATAGCTTGGCAGTGCTCTTGCCACAAAGCTCGACCACATGGGCGATTCCAACAAGCAGGGGGCGGCGGTGATTCGCCGTACGCGTCTGCTATATCAGGGGAACAGGAAGACAGGAAAGAGGCGGAATGGGGAGGTACTCTGTGTCCCTCAATAATTTTGGGGCCCCGGACTACAGGTACCCCCCGGACTACAAGTACCCCTCCCCCCGACTACAGGTCCCCCCCCCGGACTACAGGTCCCCCCCCCGGGACTACAGGAACCCCCTCCAGACTACAAGTACCCCCCCCTGGACTACAGGTACCCCCCCCGGACTACAGGTACCCCCCTGGCCCCAGGAACTACAAGCCCCCCCGCGTTCGCTTGCGTGTGTGTGCGTGTGCGTGCGTGCGTGCGCGCGTGTGCGTGCGTGTGTGCTTGCGTGTGCGGGTGTGCGGTTCCGTGCGGTTGCGTGCGCGCGTGCGCGCGTGCGTGTGAGTCTGTGCGTGCATGCGCGCGTGCGCGCGGGCGTGTCGTGTGCAACGATGCGCGTGAGGTCCCGCGCGCGTAAATACTAAACACCCGCGTGCGTGGAACCACGCGTGCTTTGAGGCATGACCATATGCCCCCCGGACTGCAGGTACCCCCCCGGACTATAGGTACCCCCCCCCCGGACTACAAGTACCTCCCCCCGGACTACAGGCCCCCCCCCCCGGACTACAAGTACCCCCCCCCGGACTATAGGTACCCCCCCCCGGACTACAGGTACCCCCAGAACTATTGAGGGACACAGAGTTAAGCGACGGCTGAGCTTGCGGCTGAGCCGGGAGCGACGTTCTGCTCTGCGGATCCCGATGCGCCCGCAGGACCTCCGCGCACACCATCGTAGTGGTGGAGACCCGACAGACACGGAGCCCCTCATGGAGCTGGTGGAGCAGCGCGCGCAAATACTCCATGCGCCCGGCCAGCTTCTCGAGGCTGTCTCTGGACGGCATCGGCACCACGGCGCGGAACTCCGGGTCCGCGGCGAAGGCGGTGAGCTCCTCCGCCGTCTCCATGAGCTTCAAGCCTCCGCAACTTGGGCGGAGAGGCAAGGCGGCGGAAAAGAAAGACAAGAGGTTCGGAGGGCGGCTCGAAAAGACAGGTCCTCCTTTTTCATCATCCTGCTCCTTCTTCTCTCCTGTCCCTCCTCCTCCTCCGCCTCCTCCTCCTCCTCCTCCTCCTCCCCCTCCTCCTCCCCGTCACCTCCTGCTGCTCTATCTCTAGCTGCTCCTCGGTGTCGTCCTCGTCTTCGTCACTGCCGTCGTCGTCGTCATCCTGCTCATGCGTGCTGCCCCACACCGCCTCATCCTGCCCTCATCGCCATGCCGCCGCCCCTTCCCGTCATTAGCATGAGAAAGGTCCTGGTGGAATCAGGTGCGCCCTATGAGGGGCCAGGAAAAGGTGGGTTAGACCATCATGGCCCTGGCATGTGTGCGCGGGCGACAGGCGACACATTGAGTGAAGAACGGGGGGAATGAGATCTTGGAGATTTCATGGCCCAGCAATGATATCCACGCACCCCCTGCTCACCCCCGTCTTGGACGCCCCCGCTGAAAACGGGTCCTGGACTCCACGCCTGTTCCGGGGCCAGCTATTGATCCCGACTTGATGTAAGGTCCTGGGGTCCGGGGAGGGCTCCTCCATCCAGAAAGCGGACCCCTGTCACTCAGGACCCCTGTCCCTCAGAAGAATCTCTTTTCCCTGATTCCGACCCTCGAAACAACTCGACCCTGGATCTCTGACGAGTCGGCTCTACTTAGCTTCCCAACACGGGTCAGCCGAGGGGATCAGGCTGAAGCGCGGCGGTGGCCCCCGCGACACGCTATGCCCCGAGAAGTGTGTCGCTCCGCTTCACGAGGCGGGAGGCTGGAGAAGGCTCGGATCGCTGACGCTTTGGAACTGGGACGTGCTTAGCGTATCGCGTCGAAGCGCGGTGAGGCTTTGGCCCGACACGCTAGCAATCGCTTCTGCCTGTAGATCCCAGGCCCTGAACATCCCAACTCGATCCTCTCCTCATGATCTTTTCTCCCCTCAACCGGAGCGAGAAAAAAGTGGGGCTTGCGCGCGAAGACACAGCGACATGGTGCCGTGGCTCACGGCGGGCGGCCAGCGCGACACGCCACAAGGGAAACGATGGCGCCGAGGGAACTTGCGCGCGCAGGTCCACGCAGGCGACGCGTGCCGAGCCCTCGCCGCCGCACCGACCCGAGCTGGGCGCACCACGTGGCGCAGCCTGGCCCCCGAGAAGACATCCCGTGGCCGAACCTGGCCGCAGCCTGCTCCCTGCGCCTCGGGAGGCAGTGCATCGGGACGGCCTCGGGCCCTCGTGGGGCCCAGCGCTTCGTGGGCCCTGGAAACGACAGGGCCGCTTTTTTACCGGTTCCGTTCTGCCGTTTCTGTTGCTGGTTCCGACGCCGTTTTTTGTCGGTTCCGTCGCCGTTTTTTGACCGGTTCCGGCTCCGGCTCCAATCCCAGAGCCGTTTTTACCTAACAGCGAACACTGATAGGTTTCTAGTGGTCTCAAAAGAGAGCATCATGACTCCCCAGGGGGGTCTGGGCAGATGCCAGACGGGATCCGGAGACTCCTTCTCTAGCCAACAGTAACCCACTTCGTGGTCTTCGAGTTCCCAGAACTCCATTCCTGCGCATGATTTTGAATGCCCGGAGCCAACTGTAGGCCACTTCGTGTTCTTCGAATTCCCAGAACTCCATTCCTGGGCAAGATTTTGAATGCCCAGAGCCAACTGTAGGCCACTTCGTGGTCTTCGAAAAACCAGAACTCCATTCCTGGGCATGATTTTGAATGCCCGGAGCCATCTGTAGGCCACTTCGTGGTCTTCGAGTTCCCAGAACTCCATTCCCGGGCCACATGTTGAATGCTGAGGCAGGCTGATGCTGAGGCTGAGGCAGGCTGAGGCTGAGGCAGGCTGAGGCTGAGGCCGAGGCTGAAGGCAGACTGAGGCTGAGGCTGAAGCTGAGGCTGAGGCTGAGGCTGAGGCTGAGGCAGGCTGATGCTGAGGCAGGCTGAGGCTGAGGCTGAGGCTGATGCAGGCTGAGGCTGAGGCAGGCTGAGGCTGAGGCCGAGGCTGAAGGCAGACTGAGGCTGAGGCTGAAGCAGGCTGGCTGAGGCTGAGGCTGAGGCTGAGGCTGAGGCTGATGCTGAGGCAGGCTGAGGCTGAGGCTGAGGCTGATGCAGGCTGAGGCTGAGGCAGGCTGAGGCTGAGGCCGAGGCTGAAGGCAGACTGAGGCTGAGGCTGAAGGCTGAGGCTGAGGCTGAGGCTGAGGCAGGCTGAGGCTGAGGCTGAGGCAGGCTGATGCTGAGGCAGGCTGAGGCTGAGGCTGAGGCTGATGCAGGCTGAGGCTGAGGCAGGCTGAGGCTGAGGCCGAGGCTGAAGGCAGACTGAGGCTGAGGCTGAAGCAGGCTGAGGCTGAGGCTGAGGCTGAGGCAGGCTGAGGCTGAGGCTGAGGCAGGCTGATGCTGAGGCAGGCTGAGGCTGAGGCTGAGGCTGATGCAGGCTGAGGCTGAGGCAGGCTGAGGCTGAGGCCGAGGCTGAAGGCAGACTGAGGCTGAGGCTGAAGCAGGCTGAGGCTGAGGCTGAGGCAGGCTGAGGCTGAGGCTGAGGCAGGCTGATGCTGAGGCAGGCTGAGGCTGAGGCTGAGGCTGATGCAGGCTGAGGCTGAGGCAGGCTGAGGCTGAGGCCGAGGCTGAAGGCAGACTGAGGCTGAGGCTGAAGCAGGCTGAGGCAGGCTGAGGCTGAGGCTGAGGCAGGCTGAGGCTGAGGCAGGCTGAGGCTGAGGCTGAGGCTGATGCAGGCTGAGGCTGAGGCAGGCTGAGGCTGAGGCTGCAGGCTGAGGCTGAGGCTGAGGCTGAGGCTGAGGCTGCAGGCAGACTGAGGCTGAGGCTGAAGCAGGCTGAGGCTGAGGCTGAGGCTGAGGCTGAGGCTGAGGCTGAGGCAGGCTGAGGCTGAGGCTGAGGCTGAGGCAGGCTGAGGCTGAGGCTGAGGCTGAGGCTGAGGCTGAGGCTGAGGCTGAGGCTGAGGCTGAGGCAGGCTGAGGCTGAGGCTGCAGGCTGAGGAGGCTGAGGCTGAGGCTGAGGCTGAAGGCAGGCGAGGCTGAGGCTGAGGCAGGCTGAGGCTGAGGCTGAGGCAGGCTGAGGCTGAGGCTGAGGAGGCTGAGGCTGAGGCAGGCTGAGGCTGAGGCAGGCTGAGGCTGAGGCCGAGGCTGAGGCAGACTGAGGCTGCAGGCTGAGGCCGAGGCTGAAGGCTGAGGCTGAGGCTGAGGCTGAGGCCGAGGCTGAGGCTGAGGCTGAGGCTGAGGCAGGCTGATGCTGAGGCAGGCTGAGGCTGAGGCAAGCTGAGGCTGAGGCTGTGACTTCGACTGCCGTTGCCACTGCGACTGTCATCGCGAATGCGACTACGACTGCGAGAACAGCAGAATTCTACAACTGGATTCTCATCTGAATCTTAAGGGAAATGCTTCCAGATATGCTCCTACACATCGCTGTTCGGTTGCTTTGCCAGGATACTTTTCCCGTTTCCGGTCGCTGTTTTTTTGCTGTTTCCATTTTCAAGGGGCATTTTTTGGGAAACGGTGAAAAGACGGCCCTGCCGTCTCCGGGGCCCACAAAGGCCCAGCGCCCTCCTTGAGGCCTTGGAAGGTCGATCCACCGGGCGGCGATGGCGCAAGGACCCCCGCCTCGCAGCAGCTGGGGGTCATCAGCTTCCCCCTCTCCCCACGGCTCCTCCCCCACCTCATCGTTTCCCCCCTCCTCTCCCAGCTCCCCCCTCTCGGCCCCCACCCCCGTCATCCCTGCTTCCCTCGCCGTCATGGTCGTCTATACCGACGATCCTCGCGGGCTCAGGGTGACCACTGGTGCGCGGCGCTTTGAGGGCCGCGGGGGGACCAGACACAAGCGCGCAAGGCGCTAACTACTGTCGCACCGCACTCGATGATCGGGGGGCTCCAGTGGGCGCGCACCAAAGGTCACTCTGGCGCTTAGTGGGCCCAAGAAACGACAGGGCCGTTTTTGTTAATGGTTCCGTTTTGCCGTTTTTGTTGCCGGTTCCGACGCAGTATGTTTACCGGTTCCGTCGCCGTTTTTTGACCGGTTCCGGCTCCGGTTCCAATCCTGGAGCCGTTTTTGTTGCCGTTTCCGGTCGCCGTTTTTTTGCCGTTTCCATTTTCAATGGACATTTTTGGGGGAAACGGTGAAAAGACGGCCCTGCCGTTTCCGGGGCCCACAGAACTCTGGCGAAGGGTCACTCTTACGTGTAGTCGGCAGGTGGCGGACAGCAATGGCCGGCTCTGGCAACCGAAACCAAAAATTATGGCGCATCGCCTCTGTCACCGCCGCCTCCCGCCGGTCTGCCCGTGGCCTCCGCTCCGATGCTGCAGGCCTTCCGCCAAGGACGAGGGCGCGCCCAAGGCGCGGACCTTTCTGGAGAGCCCCTCCTGTATGGAGCCCCGGTCTCGAAGCTCCATCCCTGAGGGGGAAAGATAACGAAGGGGGAATGACTCAGGGGGGGGGGGCCAAGATGGAGCTGGAATCGGCGATACGCCTCCATAGATCGGCGTTAGATCCCCCATGTTGCGAATGCACACGTTCCTGGGCGAAAGGGCCCCTATCGGTGACCAATGATTGGGGATCGATGCATCCCCCCCTGAGCCTATCTCCCCCTAACCCTGCCCCTGATCCCCCGCGGCCGCCCATCACAATTATACAATATGAATACTACTCTCCTCTTTCCCCTGATGACGTCGGGAAAATATCCGGCTCCCCTCCGCGGACTGTTTCTTACACACAGGATTCTCAGGGAAAGGGTTTTCGAATGTCGACCCCGCTGAAGCGCTGGCCTCATTATCGGGTTTCCGCTCGTCCCGAATCGTGCTCCCGCTGCAGCGCTGGCCTCATTTCCTCCGCTCGTTCCGAATCGTGCTCCCGCGGCAGCCCTGAACGTATATTTCCAATGCCATGCCACGGCATGGTTTTCGGTCCTTCCGAAAAACTCAAAAATCTAGAAAATGCCACCCGGAAGAAACAATCGGAAGTGATTACACACTCGGCGTCGACTCGTTCATTTCTGGGGCCCCAGAAACCCCACTTTGGGGCGTCGCCATGCCATGCTATGTCATCCTACGCGTTGATGTTCAACACCATGCTATGCCATGTAATGCTACGCCCTGCTACGACATCTGACTGTGCGAATAGAGAAGAGATCTACGCCATGGTGATGGGTGGGAGGGATGGGTAGGACGTCAAATATGACGCGAGCGCACCTAGCTTGCCCCCCCCCTCCCCCCCCCTTTCTGTGGCGTGAATGAAATAGCAAATTCGCACCCCGACCTCCCCCCTGCCGCGCCGTGCGATCGCCAGCGCCGCGACAAAATCATGAAGTCCCGGACTGGGAGACCCCCCCCAGACTCCCCGACGTCATGATTTTGTCACAACGCGGACCCCCGGAGGCTTCGACCCATTCCCCGGGACCAGCTGCTCTCTTTTAGTCGTGGGTCGACGGTCCTGGCGCCTGGAGAGGGCCCCAAGACGCCTCAATCAGCAAACAACCTCCTTCGCATTTCGTTCAACCTGACTTTCAATGGAAAAAAAACCCTTCCTCGGAGCTCCCTCCCCCAAAGCTCACCGTCCGAAGGGTGTGGTTTGCAGAGGGTGTGGTTTGCAACAGGCACACTGGGGGCAGCCGAGGGGGGCGGGCGGGGACTCCGATATGATTCTCCGCCACGCCCCAACGGCGCCGATCACAGACCACACCCTGGCGTAACCACACCCTTTTAAATCGCCGACAAGCCCCCGGGGCGCCTTTGCCCAACTCCAGCTCGGCCCGCAAGGTCGGGCCAGCCGCCGCGCTGCTCGTGAGGCCGGCGCACAGGGCGCCACCCAACGGCGAGAACGCCCTCACGGTGTCCGCCGCGGCGGCCTCGGCGGAGAGCTCCGAGAGCCCAGCATACCGATGCCACTGCGTAATACTGCTCTGCTCAGAGTGAGAAGCACTCACGCTGGCAGAGTGGGCTTCTTCACTCTCCGAGCGCTTTTCCGAGACAGAAGTCAGGCCCAGCTGCAAGGAAGCTCTGCGAAAAAATGGACTCCGAGGACACGCCCGGGGTCCAGTCATGATTCCTGATGCTCTGAAGCGGCATACGGAGTCCATGGAGGTTGCTGTTTGTTCATACGGTTAAGTCGGGCCTGTCCCTCTACAGTGGGAATATTCGAAACTAGTACCCAAAAAAGTCCGGGGACGTTTGTTTACCATGTTTGGGGTATGGTTGGAACATGTTTGGGGTATGTTTTTTTAACATATTTCGCCCAAGATCCCCCTGTAGGGGGACACGCCCGACTTAATCATACGGTTTCTGTTGGGTCTACCAACCCCTCGTCCTTGTCTTCTTCTGGGGGCCTCCTGGGAACGGCTGGGTCCGCATCGGAATCGATCCGGGTCGGAACGCACCCAAGGAGAGGTCAGGGAGTACTCAAGGAGAGTTCAGGTTATAAGGAACATCCTGGAGGCCTCGCGCGGCAACTTGAGACCCGATTTACGTCGGATCTACGTCGGATTTACGTCGGGTTCACGTCGGACTACGTCGGATTTCTACGTCGGATTTACGTCGGATGTACGTCGGACTGACTCCTGAGCATCGACGCGCGAGTGTCGACCCGTAGCTTACGGAACTAACAAGTGGACTAGATCATACTACTATTACGCGCCGCGCGGGGCCTCCAGGATTTTCCTCATAATTCAAGGGATGCTCAATGATGACGGTACTTTTTGCTTCCCCAGAGACTCGTCGCCGCCGCAACCGTCGTGGCACGCCGCGGCAGCCTTCGCCTTCGAGGCTCGAGGACCCCTGACTGTCAACTCACCCTCCCCGCGCAGTAAAGATAGAACGACGGAGGGTCTATGGTAAGGTTCGGCCTCTCCGAGGGCACTGGATGGGACCAAGGGGCCCCCAGAAAAAAAATCAAAATTCTCAGCTGGCCCTGCAGAAGTGGTCGATGCCACGAGAACCGACCTTACGAAACAATCGCAACGTTGGTGTAGAAAGGAATACGCCGCCGCCATCGTCGTGGTCGAGGCTCCATTATGTGCCTCGGGCTGCTCATGTAAACTCTCCACATCCTCTTCCGCCTCCCCGCCCGCTTCCACTGAGCCCTCCTCCTCCGCATCTCCTCCTGCTTGTTCCCCCTCCAAAATCTCCTTCCTCAAATTCGACCTCCTCCAAGGCTTCCGACTCTACGTTTTGTTCGCAACGTGGCTACCCAGAGGTCAGGACGTTTCCAGGGACCAGCTTTTCATCCCGAATCGTTGTTTGACGGTCCAGGGCCTGGCAAGGGCTCCCAACACGGGGCAAATAATCGTCGTCCTGGACAGGGCTCCCAAAACAAACCCGTCGTGGTTACTCCACGACGCGAACATGTCAGGATGTGTGACGGCTCCTTCTCCCCCCCCCCCTGTTTCGCTTCCTTCGCCATCCTCCTGCCTTCCTACCTGCTCCTCCTCCGCGCCCGACCAGTCAAGGCTGGCAACCCATTGAGCAGCGGCTCGATGGAAGAAAACAAACCGCGGGGCAATAGAGGCCACGTGGGCCCGCGTACCGTAGGAGCTCGACCACAAGAACCTTGCCACAAGAAACTCAACCCTGAGACCCCAGAGCGTCTAGTTGTTTTTGGTGCCGGAACGCCTCGCTGTCCAGAACGAGTCCATCGAAACACAAGAAACTAAGGGCTCTCTGGAGACAAGCCAGGTGTTTCTTGGCATGGTACTCCACTGTACCGCGAGTTCGTGTCGTGACGGCGTTGGCGGTGGTCTGTGGCACCGCGTGGATCGTTCAACCTGGAACGGTCGCGGCTCTCCGATGGGGCCGCTCTTTCGATCTCGGTCCACCCTGGGCCACCGGCAGCGTCCAGCCTGGAACGCCCGCGCCAAGGTCACCGCCGCTGCGGCGCGGCGCCAACCTGCCGCACCTCCGCTTCCGCCTCGGACAACCTCTGGCGGCTCGAGGCAATCGCGTCGGATCTGTGATCCCCACTTCTGGGCGATGGGATATCATGTTTGGCCCGTGGACCTATGGACAGCTATCCGGGATGCCTGGGGATGGGGTCGACGGGTGGGAGAACAGACCCCACTTCATCGTATGTCTCTCGGCGCACCCGTACACAGGTTTCACCATTGTAAGTACCACTGAATATATGTTAATTGTTTCTGGTCTTCCCGCGCACATGCCGCAGAGTGCGCACACACATCCACCTGTGCGTCCCTGTGCGGGACAGCGTTGAAGTCGCCGCCTCCCCGCAGTTGCCTGCACATGCTATGCATCTCCATGATCCATGCCCGCGAGGTCGCTGGTCAACATGCCCGCGCAAAGCCGCGCACACCATCGCCCGTAGAAACGCAATTTGCAAGAGCTCCCCCCCAAGCAACCTGGACAACCACTCCAAGATAAATGCCACGATCAAGAGAGCAAGCCTCGAGGCCAAAAACGCAAGGCGCGTTCGGACACGGGCGGGGCGCGCGCGGGCCCCACTGTGCCGACTAGAGGAAAAGAGAAGACGGCCGCGGAGCCGGGCCGAAAGAGAAGGAACGCTCGAAGGAGGACACCACTACGGGCGTCAGGCGAACGGCCGGGCGGAACAACGCCGACATGCGCAGCGCTGCTGCCGCAAGGGGGGCAACGCGTAAGCCCCCAACGGCTGCTCACACGTGCCCGGGCCGTCACTGGCGGGCCAGTGGGGGCCCGCGGGTGCCGCCAAAAAATCTCGCTCCCGCACTTGCCGCGCGCATGCCGAGCACACGCTGGCAGAATACTTGCACAGCCCGCAGCGCCCTCTCGTGCATCCCTGACTGGAGGAAGAGGGGCCCAAGACCGGCCACGAACGGTGCCCCTGCGTGGGCACGTGCGGCGCCATGGGCCGGCGTGCGGGGGCAGCACCTGTGCGTGCGGCAAGGGCTCCTTCTGTACCGCCCGACGTGTGCAACGCTGCTGATGCATACAGTCGAGACGTTGACCTCAGGAACCCTGAACAAGGAACGAGGCCCCTGTTTTCCACAAGTTGAACTTCGATTTCGTATCGAAAGCCTAAGGAAAGCCTGAGGCAAGCTGCTAAACAATTGAGGGACACGGAGCCCCTCCCCAACGAAAAGGGCTCCTTCTTCAGGGCCCCGACTGTAGTGCACACAGGGTTCCCGCGCACGCCACGCACATGCGCGTACAGTCGCAGGCAACGCTCCAGGGAGGGGACCGAACCAGAACACCAGCAGAAAAACTCAGAGCACATGCCCCCGCACATGGCCGCACATGCGTGCAAACCACTAGATCAGAACGCTCGGAAATCGGAAGCACCCGCACGTGCGGTGCCCATGCCGCGCGCAACGAGCGCACATGTCGAGCCAACATAGCCCGCACGCGCTTACCCCGGAATAGCACTAAGATCGCGAGCCATGTGTATCCACGGCCTGCTCCTGCCCTGGGCCCCTCCAGGAGCAACAGATGTGGACACACTCGGGCTTCCAAGATCTGGCAACCCTCCGCATCCACCACATCTCGAAGCCACGGGGCACGAATCCCAAACCGGTGGATGTGATGTGGACAGTCTTGCGGTGGACTCCCGAGGACCAGCGGTCAATCCTGGAGGATGAAGCGAACGACGCGGCTGTTACGGAGCGCTCCGGCACTCCCCGATTCCGACGCCTCTTCTTCCCTGGACAGACGACCCACCGCCGGCCGACAGACGCCACCTGGCCGATAGGAGCTCCCATTGCCCCCGACAGACGCACGCTCTTCGAAGGGAAAGGGGGATCAGGGGGGTTAGCGAATCAGCTCATGTACCTGGTTCTCGTTCCCCCTCCTTTCTCTATCCCCCCCCCCTGTCCAACACGATGTGCCCTGGACAGACGCCCCCCCCCCACTCCCAACAGACGCCCCACCCCCACAGACGGCTCCACACCCCTCTGTCCGGCAGACGCCCTGTTGGAGCCTTCACGGCCAGAGCGTCGGAGTGGCCAGGAGAATGCGCACGCGTCCATCCCGCTCCTCGCTCTTCGTCGAACGTCGCCTTGACACCCTCTCTTGCGCCGTCGTGACCTGACCTGACTCTCCCACTGGCCAGGCACAACCCCCAGGCATGCGATCCTGAGTCTTTCAGCGCGCGGTCCCCTGAGGTTCCAGCCCGCTCCCTGGGGCCGGATTTCATGTCGAGTTGTTTTCTCTAACGGTCCCGAGGCCCAGGGAGGGCCCCAGGAGGCCGAAAAGGTCCTGATTTTGTCACGGCGCAAACGCGCCTGGGACGCAGTCCATACTCGGCACTGCAGCCCCTGCAAACAGGGTGTTAGTAAACGGGGTGGTCGCGAACGGGTCGAGCGAGTACAGGGTGACAGGGCATTTACCTCGCACTAGTCCAGGGCGACACGGCATTTACCCCGCACTAGTGCGTGATACACCAGGACGACGACATCGTCGCTGCAGCATCATAACTCTGGGCGGGGGGGACTACCTCGCACTTGTGCGCGGCCAAGCAAATGTTCGAAGGCACCATTGATAACGCACCCTTAGCTACCACCCCGTTTACAAACACCCCGTTTGCAGGGGCGTGGGGCACCGCGTCGGCCCGGTGTCTGCCACCAGTGGCCCAGTGAGACCCCGGCGGCGGCCGGGGCGGCCCCCCTCGAGGCGCGGGGGCCGAGCGGGGGGATCCTCTGACCAGGATCAATCCAGACCTGGGTCAGTCAGGCCCTGCAGAATCCTGCAAGATTCTGCACCCAAGCCCAGGGGCCCGAACGACTCACACCAGGACGAGGGGCCCGAACAACTCACACCACGAGAAGCCCGAACGACTCACACCAGGACGAAGAGCCCGAACGACTCACACCACGAAGAGCCCGAACGACTCACACCAGGAAGAAGGGCCCGAACGACTCACACCAGGTCAATGCGAAGGATCACGCAAGATCCTGCGGCGCCCAAGCCAGGGTCCGTGCGACCCTGGCCCCTGCAGGATCCTGCCAGATCGGGAGCTCTGGCAGACCCCCGTTTATATTTAAGTCGGGCCTGCCCCCCTACAGGGGGATTTTCGACGAAGAATAAAAAATACCCCAAACGTACCGCAAAAAGGTTAAAACATACTCCAAAAATAGTCCCCAGACTGTTTTTGGACAATTTTTGGATTATTTCTGGGGCATCTTTCATTTTTCGTCGAAAATCCCCCTGTAGGGGGACACGCCCGACTTAAGTTTACATTGAGCCCCGTCTCTTGAGCCCCGAGCGGAGGCTTGCTGCACGTCCCGGGAGTGTGTTCCTTCTGCGACGCCTGCATCCTCCGAGGGCCGCCAGTATCTCGACTTCAAAGTGCCCCCTGGATAGGGGTCCGAGCAGGTTTAGGTCGGGCCTGTCCCCCTACAGGGGGATTTTCGACAGAAACCAAAAAACAAAACAATACTCAAAACATAGTCCAGAAGTAGTCCGGGGGCTATGTGTGGAGTATGGTTTGACCATTCTCGGGTATTTTTGGGGTATTTTTCATTTTTCGTCGAAAATCCCCGACAGGCCCGACTTGAGAGTAGGTGGGGTCGGAGGGGCGGGCCGCATCGCCCGTGCATCGGCGCTGCGGCTCGATGTGGAGCCCGACTTTCCCCAATGCCGATGTCGCCGATGCGTTGCAAGCGTCGCCGGTGCATCGCACACGTCGCCGATGCATGGGCGATGCGGCCCCCCTCCGACCCCATCTGCTCGGCACCCATCTTAGGGCGACGAGATCTATGCATATCCACTGCTCCTGGCCAGGCCCATCCTGGGCCCAGGAGCGGTGTACACGCCCTCCTGGCCTGGCCAGGGAGGCATATACACAGCTCCTGGGCCCAGGATGGGCCTGGCCAGGAGCAGTGGATATGCATAGATCTCGTCGCCCTACATCTGGGAGAACCAGACGACTGCCCTCCTTGGATTTCAAGCACGACCGGGGCCCGCCAGAAAGCTGCTACGCAACCATGCCGCATGGCCCCACCTCTTGGTCGCAGCGGGGCGGCAGGAGGAGGAGGAGGACGAGGAGGAATCTTCGGGGTCCCCAATCGGTGCGGTGACAGACCGTGCGGTGACCTTCAAATCCCCACCGACCTCACTGCACGGTGCGTCACTGCACGGTTTGTGGACCTCGGAGGCCCCATATGCCCCAAATATCATCAGAAGACGACCCAAGTCCCAAAACAGTACGGCCACCTCGAATCCCCACTGGCGCTCACCACACGGAAAGGTCACCACACCGTTTGGGGACCCCTGAGAATCGACTTTGTTTTTCCTCCGCTCCAGCTCGCTTTGGGGAAGCCAAAGGTACCGATACCGCTACTCCCCGGACCTCTCCCAGGGTGCGTTCTGACCAGGATTTCATGGCAACTCCAGTGGTGGCGACGAGGGCCTCCGAGGAGACCCAACAAGGTGAAAACGATGCGCAAGGGTTAGCGGTATCGGTACCCCTTCCTCCGCTGACGCTTGCCCTGCCTTCAAGGGGGCGCGCGTCAGATCTCGAGGCGAATCCAGCGGAGGCCCAAAGAGGCGATCACGAGGCAAGGGCTCAGTGCCTTTTCCTCCGTTGACGCCTGCCTTGCGTTCGCGGGGGCGCGCGTCAGCTGTCCTCGATGGGATCGTCCTCCAGCGCCACCGCCCACGGAGCTGGCGCCTCTGCGGAAGGCGCCAACCTGACGCCTTCGCCTCGCCGGGCCCGGCCGGGCCCACCCTGGGCCCAAGGTCGGTGTGTGCACGCCCCCCTGGCTTGGTCAAGAAGCCAGGTCTTCGTTGTAACGGGGGGGGGGGAGGGGGCAAGAAACGCGAGTCCTAGAAAACACGCGCACCCTCCGCGTATAGGACCCTTCCGGCCCGCGGTGGCAGCCTGGGAGCCCCTTCGGGCCCCGCCGCCCGCACGAGGAAGACACAGAGTGCAGCATCGCGAAATGTCACGACCAGAGCCCTGGACCCAACCTTTCTGCGGCATTTTTCTCTCCGCATCGATCGCTCATGGCCCCGGGGCCCGAACCTGGGCGACAACGCCCGGCGTGACAACAGTGCGACGCCCGGATCTCAGGACCTGGCCTCGTCGCCAGGACGGCGATCGTCACCGATCCCGGCCCCTGTCAAGCGGCAACTCATGGGAGCCTCCTGCACCCTCTTGTCGACCCCTGCGAACCGACGCCGAACTGACGCTGAGTCGGCGCCATCTCCCCAATGGCCAGACGCCAGTGGACGCCAGCGCGCTCCTCTGAAGACGGCATTGCGCGCTGCAAAGGCGTGCAGGGCTCCCGTGCCTTGCGGCCGAACTGACTCGGCCTGGCCCGGCTCGGCGCAGGCGTGAGGCGGGCAGCCGCCGTGCCTCCGCGCCAACGGCGGCCCGGCCCGAGCCCTCGGGCGGGCCGCCGCTCTCCCGCTCCCTCATACCTGGGAGGGAAGCAGGCACACCAAGGCCCGACCTAAGCGGCGTGCTTCGTTTCCGTGCCGTTCTCGGGTTCCCTCTTTGCAATATTCGTTCCGCCTCTCTGCTGCAGAGCAAGATCGAAGCGAAAACGGCACACTGGATCACCAACACACGATTTAGGTCGAGCCCTGAGAAGCACACTCATTTTTGAGCACCACGACAAGCGAAGCCGTTTAGCAAACATAGCCAAGCCAGGAATGGAACAGGGCAGGTCTGCTCAGTAAACGCCCAGGGCTGCGTGATAAACGCCAGTCATGGGGGTCGGTGTTTTTTTTTTTTCCCTCTCGAATACCCGTCCGCAGCAGCTCGCTGTCGATGGGGCTGCTGAGCTCCTTTGAAGAGCAACGATGGGGGGGGACTGGTTCAGGGAGGGACATCGACCTGGAATCGGCGATGCATCGCCGATAGATCGGCGATAGGCCCCCGTTAGCGAACCCGAGCGTTCATGGGCAGGCGGTGCTATCGGGCCCTGTCGGCCATCAATGGGCGCTTGGGGGTGGATACATCCCCTTCTGGCACTACCCCCTAATTATCGTTGTCCCTGGCCTGCTGGGAACGGGGTCCTGTACCATGGGGCGACCTCTGGGACGGGTTTAACACTCCGAATCGTCTTTTGATCGCCCCGGGGCCCTGGGAGGGCCCAAGGGGCCACAGCATGCGGGGTTGGGCCGTCGGGCCGCTGTCGGCCATCATTGGGCGCTCGGGGGTCGCTGCATCGCCTTCTGAGCCTACGCCCACCCAAAGTTGCCTTTGACCTGTGCGCGCCGCCGGCAGATCGGCGATGAAGAGGCGATTGGGGGTTCATGCATCCCCCCATGGGCCTAACCTCCCCCCCTTTGGTTGCCCTGTTCCTTGATCAGCCGCATCAGCGGGTGGGGGAGCTGCCGCAGCGCCGGGTGGCGCCCCTTCGTGCTGGCCAGCATCTGGTGCACGTAGGGCAGCATGCGGATGCTGGCGGCTGGACCTCTCGCGCCCAGCGTGGCCGGGTCGGCGCCCAGGTGCCCCGCGAGCTCCTCGGCGCGCCGCTGCCTGTGCCGCAGGGCGTCCCGCAGCAGCGGCCTCGCCATGTTGAACGAGGCCGCCTGCGCGCTGACTGCCTCCCCGCCGCACGGATCCGCGAAGGTCGGCGGGACGGGGTGCAGGTTCGCGTCCAGGAGGGACCTGACCTGCACGCTGATCCTGAGCGAGTCGGCGAACGAGTCGGTCTCACCGGTGCCGCCCAGCCACGGGCTGCCAGCGCCTTCGCAGGAAGAGAAGACGGCATAAGCATAAACTGTCGAAGGTCCGCGCGGATTTCCAGGATCTGCACTGAACCCCCCCCCCCGTGGCGCGCGGACGAGAGGCGCCGCCAGGGGTCAGGGGCCAGCGCAGATACAAGAAATCCGCGCGAACCCTGAGAGATACAAGAAATCCGCGCGATACCCTGAGAGAAATCAGCGCAGATACAAGAAATCCGCAGATACAGATACAGCGCAGATACAAATCCACGTTTCCGCCATTTGTTCTCCGTAGAGCCTCTGCTCCAGGCGTCCGTCTCGGCCAGCGACGAGGCGTACAGGGCCAGGTCACCGACGTCGCCGCAGAAGCGCGGGGCGTTGGTGAAGAGCCAATCCACCAGCGTGCTCGGCTCGCAGTTCGAGGCGGCAACCACGTCCTCTGGCACGAAGTAGAGCGGCGGCCGCGTGGACTTGGGCACCAGTAGGTGGTGCGGCAGCTGCTCCGGCCTCGCAGGCGCGGGCCCCGCCTCGGCCTCGCAGCCCGCGGGGCCCGCACTGGCGCCTCGCCTCCTCTTTGCCGGGGGCCGGCCGGGACCGCTGCCGCCGTCCTGGCTCAGCGCCGTGAGCCCGCCCGGAGGGGGCAGCCGCTTGCAGTAGAGCAGGCGGCCGAGGGCGTGGAAGAGGCCCAGGGAGGCCCGCCTGAGGCCCCTGTCCGGGGGCTCCAGGCGGGCGGCCCCGACGCCGCCGCTGTCGGCGGCCGCGCCCTCGGAGACCGCCGAGGGCTGCCTGGAGGGAACAGACAGGTGCCAGTACCGCTGCTCCCCGGTCCTCTCATGGGGTGCGCTCTGGCCTGAAAGCCGGAGAGAATCCAGCCGTGGCAACGAGGACACTCCAGGACGAGCTGCGGGCTCGGTAGCTCTCTCCGAGCTCCGAAGGCTTGATTTTTCCAATGCAGGGTCCCCAGAAGTCTCGACCCCCCCCCCCGGAGTCGTTGTTTGACGGTCCTGGGGCACGGCAAGGGCTTCTATAGAGACCGAAGCCTACAAAAACCCTCCGTCTTGATGTTTCAATACGTTGGAACTCTGCGATTCTTCCTCTGATGCCTGTCGAGGTCCCTGCCTCTGCCGCGCCCCCGCGCGCGGCCGCGCCCAGCCGCGCGCGGCGGCGCCCCGCTCGGCGGGCGGCTGCCTGCGGCCAGCTGCAGGGCGTTGATCGCGTGCCGCAGGTCCCCGCCGCACTCCAGCGCGAGCGCTGCAGTGTCCAGGGACTTGGGGTCATGGCCCTCTGCTCTCGACACAGCGTCCAAGGCCTTCGGGGCGCACCGCAGTGGAGGACAGAAAGCACTCTGAAGGCAGGGCCCACCACTGAGGCCAGGCGGTGAAGCTGCACTGAGCTGACGACTGGCGCTCGACAAGCGATCTGCTCGCGCCCCCCCCCCGTCCGTCGCCTCCCCCCGCTGACTGCTCCCCCCATTGCTGCCCCTTCTGGGCCTTCTGCACGAACGTCTTCGCCACCGTGTCGAAGTAAATCATCGTGTGCGCCTCCGACGGTGCCCTCCCGAGCAGCTGGCGGATCGTGCGGTCCTCCTCGTACGAGTCGTTGAAGCAGAACACGGCGCGCTGCAGCGAGCCGCCCTGCACCGCCGAGTGGAAGCGGCCCAGGAAGTCCCCGGAGCCGCTTGGGCCGCTCCCCCGCGCGCTCAGGAGCGTGTGGGGGAAGTCCCGGACCAGCGTGACGCGGGGCCGCCTGTGATGGGCGTGTTTTCCACCACCACCACCATAAGTTGGAGGGGGAGGGGGTCCTCCTCCTCCTCCTCCTCCTCCTCCTCCTCCTCCTCCTCCTCCTCCCCCTCCTCCTCCTCGTCATCCTCCTTCTCCTCACCCCCCTTCCCCCCTCCAACTTATGGTGGTGGTGGTGGAAAACAGGCCCATCAGCCTGGCGGGCGCCGCCGCGCCCCCCGCGGCCAGACCGCGGTACCGATCGGTCTGGGCCCGCGGTCGGCATGGCCAGCCGTGGGGCCCAGAGAAGGGGGGAGGGGGGGAGGAGAGGGACCGACCAGGCACGGCCCCCGGGGGCACGACGAGCAGGCGCGCTGTGCGCTGCTCTCCTCGTTGGCCCCCCTGCCCCCCCATGGGAGGCCTCGCATGCGAGCCACTCCACGATTTGTAAGGGGGGAGGTGGGGTTCACTTCCTTCGGGACCTCCCGAGCGGATTGAACCCCACCTCCCCCCTTAGGAATCGTGGGGTGGTGAGGTACAGTCGGGGCCTTGACCTAAGGAACGATAAATAAGGAACGAAACCCCTTTTTTATCCCGAGGAATAACGCATAGGGAACGATAAATAACAAATAACGCATGCAAACCTAAGGAACGACCGAGCCCCTTTTGAAAAGCAAGCGTTCCTTACTCAAGCCGCTCACTGTAGGGTTCGCATGTGGCCTCCCACCCCAGACACCCGGCGCCGTGTTTCTGCTCGCAGCGTGACTCCCCAGCTGCAGAGCTCTGGATCCCCTCCCGGCGACCGGCGTATCGTCCCGAGTCGTGTCTTGACGGGCCATGGGGCCTGGCAAGGGCCCCCCGCCAAAGACCTCCCGCCGTGAGTTCCTCACGACGCCGCGGGGTCGGGTGAGGGGCAGCGGGGGAAGCATCGAACTGTAATCGGCGATACATCGCCGATAGACCGGCGATAGCGCGACCGCACGCTCCTGGGCGGGGCGGGGCTATCGGGCCCGCATCGGCGACTCATGGGCGATGTGGGTGTTGATAAATGCCCACCCGAGCCGCGCCCCCCCCCCCCTAACGTTGTCCCCGAAGAGGGCAAGACGAGTAGCCACTTTGTCCTCTGCTGTTTCTGGGCCCTCCTGGGGGGTCTGCCGTGGTTGGCTCCCCAGACCCCCGGCTTAATGTTATTTTTCAAAATCTCGACCCCCAGACGTCTCGACCCACTCCCCGGGACCAATTCTTCATCCTGCGTCATTTTTCGACGGTCCCGAGGGCCGGTGAGGGCCTCAGAAGCCGAAAAGAATGGAAAACCTCCCGCCGTGATTTTGTTCATAACTTGAGGGGTCTGGGTCCATTGCCACCCAGACGTCCGACGCCGTCTTTTTTCACACTCCGGTGACTGGCGTCTCGTCCCGAGTCGCTTTTTGACGTCCCCGGGGCCCGACAAGGGCCAGAGGCCGAGGACTGCCAAAAACCTCGCTCCGAATGTTTTTCCCGACGCGACGATACACGTCGGTCGGACGTAGATAATCATGACATAAGAAGGCGGATAAAGCAGATTGGGAAAACGAAACACAGCAAAAGCATATTAAAAGTCCAGCCTTCAGCCCCAACAGGCCCCAGGAGGCCCAAAGAGGCCCCCAACAGGCTCCAAGGGGCCCCAAAGAGGCACCCCAAGAAGCCCCAAGAGGCCCCCAAGAGGCCCAAAGATGCCCCAACGCGGCCCCCAAGAGGCCTCAAAACTGCCTCCCAGAGGCCCCCGACAGGCCAACCACGAAAGCCCAACCAACAACTATGAGGCCTCTGACCCACCACCCACCGCCTTCGAAAAATGGCAGCCGCCCAACGGCACAGCATTGACAAGAAGAACAACAACAACCACAACAACAACCACAACCACAACCACAACCACAACCACAACAACAACAACAACAACAACAACAACAACAACAACAACAACAACAATTACTAGCACGTGGGGACACTCCGTTCTCACCAGTGCCAGGGTTTTCATAGGAGGCGGGCAATACCCCCACTTTGTGGGGGGGCCGGTTCAAGCTCTACCAAATTTCCAAACGACTCTTCGCCACCACCCACACCCAGCTTCCCGCCCTATGACGTTCGGACACTTCACTTCGTGGCATGCGGACGACCGTGGCTACTATTCAGGGCCCCGCGGCCGACGACGACGGCGTGCGCGCGCGAAGAAAAAACGAATGTGTCCCGCATGGTATTATTTGACAGGGATGATGGCCCTGGCAGGTGCGCAACCGTTGTTGGAGAAGTTCGAAGCACGTGAAAAAGTTGCTCGCGAAAGCCCGTTTGACAGAAATGTTTAAAAAGTGTTGGGTTTCCTACAAATCCGCAAGAGCGCGCGGGATGAAATGTTGACATTTTTTTTGAAAAACCATTGTTTTTTGATGTTTTTATGTTAAAATCGCTACGAAAACTAAGGTTTTGGAAGGATTTCATCTTGCGCGCGCGAGTGTGCACTTCGTGTCATTTTTTGCAAAGGATTCTTCAAGTTTGGTTATGTTAGAACAAGACATGTCATTTTATATGGTTTTTTGACAGGGAAAGCGGGCGTCAACAAAACAACCGGATCCGGACTCCCCCGTTTTGCCTGAGACTTCCTCACGAAAATGATGAAAATGTGGCTGCGGCCTAGGCGCGGCGAGGGGGGCGTGCACCAGGGGGCCCAACAATAATTATTCTTTAGAAGTAATAATATTCAACAACAGCAACAACAACAACAACAACAACAACAACAACAAAAACAAAAACAAAAACATAACAACAACAACCCGACAAACGACAGCGGCGAGGCAATATGGGCCGGCGGAATGAGCGAAGCAATTGATAACCAAACACACCAGAAGCATATGGATTCTTCAGAAGTGCCTACTTTCAACGACCAGACGGATATCCCGAGGCCCTTGGCCCCTCGGGGAAGCCCAGCCGACCGCGGCTCTGGGCGACGAAGCGCAGGAACATGCTGGTCATGGGCCAGGCAATGCCAGAGGGGGGTCACCCCTAGTGGGGTCGCCAGCTCCTGAGGAAACGGACCCCCCCTATAGACATCCCCAAACCCCGCAAGACTCCCACAAACACCCTAACACGTCTGAAAACTCTTCGATCCGAGAGCATCCCTTCTCCTCGAACCTCGATGTCCACGAAGAAGTGGTGACCTCCCTATAGGTGGCGACATCCGAGCTCCACCCCCACCAACCATCGACTCTCCTGAATCCATGTCGGCTGCACGCAAGAGTGACCCTGGCTAAGAGTGGCCTTTGGTGCGTGGCTTTGTGGGGGCCGCCGGGGGCCAAACACAAGAGCGCGAGACGCCACTGCCACCTCGCGTTCGGCGATCGGGGGGCCCCAGTTGGCCCGCACCAAACAAAGGTCACTCCAGCGAAAGGTCACTCTTACGTCTAGTCGACCATGGGAGGCGCGAGGAGTTCTCTGAGCTCGCAACGTGCTCGCCCGAACCGCTGAGTTGCCCGACCCGCTGATCGGCGAGGGTAAAGCCCGGATCTCGCCGCCGACCCCTGGGCCTGAACTGGCTGGAACCGGAAATCGTTCGGGGGAGGGAGAGAAGAATGACGAAGAAAAGGAGGAGGACGAGAACTGGAGGAGGAGAGAAGAATGACGAAAAAGAATAATGACGAAGAACAGGAGGATGACGAGAAGGAGAAGGAGGAGGAGGGCCAGAAAAGAGGAGGAGTTCGAGAAGGAGAAGCACGCGAAGGAGGAGCACAGGAACGAAAGAGGAAGGAGGAAGCGAAAGCGTAAGTGGCCGTGTGTTCCATGGAGACCGGAAATCGGCCCCTGGACCCATCTCGCGGTCCATCTGGTGCAGCGTTTCATCCCCAGACCCGTGCCAAATAATGCGTGCCAAATTGAAGGGGCCCTGGGACACACAAACAAATAGACACAACTAAACCGGATCCCACATACTTTCCCACATTTCTCCTGGGTGCTTGTCTTTCCCCCCACTTCCCATATCTTCCCATACTTTCTGGGGCATCGACGATTCATTGTGTCCGTGTGTTTCTGTTCCCTCCTGAGGAGTGCTGAGCGTGGCGGACCCCTGGCCGCGACACCCCGTGGCACTGCCCAACTGGACTCCTGGCCGTCGCCCTCGGCGGCGTGGCGCCGCGCGGCCTGCGCCGTCGCGCCCCTCGACGCCGGGCCCCACTCCACGAGCTCGAGCCCCAGGTCGCAGCACAGGCCCCGGAGCACCGCCGCCTTCCCGGTGCCTGGCGGGCCTCGTCGGAGACCCAGAGATCCAACGCATTGAAAAAATCAAGACGGAGGTTTCTCTTAATTTTGAACCTCTAGGGGCCCTCGCCGGGCCCCGGGACCGTCAAAAAACGACTCAGGATGACAAACCGGTCCTGGGGAACGGGTCGAGACTTCGGGCGACCGCGTATTAAAAACAACAACAAACAACGCCATCGGATCTCTGGGGGGGGAGGGGGCGGCCGGGCAGGACAGCAGAGGCGTAAGAGGACACCGGGGACCGGCATCGAGAGGCTATCCGAGGTCTGGCAGCTCTGGAAGACGTCTCGGGCGCCGCGGCCTTCTCCGAGAGCTCCGAACGCTATGAGAGCGTCCCGGAACGCTCTGGAACGGATATTCTCGGCCCCGTCCTGCCAGCGCCTCTTGGCGCCGGCCGGGAGGCGCCCATGTATCGAGGAATGGGCCTGGCCGTGGGGCCGAAACCAAAGGCATGCAGCTGATGTCGTACCCCCCATCCATATCCGACCCTTTTGTCCAGGCCGAGCCTCGCAGGACCAGGAGCCGCTGGTGGAAGAAAGAAAAACGGCGGGACCACAAACTCTCTTAGCTCCGCGCAGGTTTCTTGGATGGGCACCCACACATGAGCCTATCCCTGCAGGTCAGATGCTGGAACAAAAACTTGCCGGGGTTCAGCATCCGAGGGGCGTCTGCAACCAAAGGAACCCCAACGGGCTTCCCAATACCCCAGCGTACATTGGACCTGCCGGGGCAGGAGTGAGTTCCGCAAATGGTCGCAAATTGGACTTGCGGTGAACCCCCCATCCCTGGCTCGTGGAGCGCGCCCGCGCCGGCAGCGAGGCGCGCCATGAGGGCGATCCTGCACAGATCCAAAAATTCCGTGCGGAGCTCCGACAATTCGCGCGGATGCCGCTTTTTCTTCTTCGAGCTGACCCCTCTGGGCGCCGGAGACGAGGAACTCGCGGACCAGCTCCACCTTCCTCTTGGTGACCACGAGCTCCGCCTCCGAGCCGGGCTGGTAACGCTCAGTCCAGAGGTGCGGCATGCTCGGGCCGTGGGCGTGGCCGTGGTGCCCACGGGGGGAGCAGCGCGAGTGAGCCAAACTGGCTGCGCACGAGAAGAATCTCACACCCCAGACATCCCAATGAAATCTGCTTGGACACCTTCCGAGTTCTAGCATGGATTCTCTTTTGTCAGTCTGTCGACAGGGCACAGAAGAGGGACGACATGATGTCTTGGGACGCACCCATGGACGAGCCTGCGACGCACAGCCCTCAAAGACAACGTTCGGAATGCACGTGGGACGGTGCTGGGGCGCATCATTCTGAACCTTGGACGCAGTATCCTCGAGCGGGCACACGCAGAATAAGGCGGAATCCCATGTCGGACGTTGTACCCCTCTCATTTTTGGGCCGCGTCTGTTCGCGCCCGTGTTCCTGCATGCTTGTATGATCTCGGCATACTTGCCCGTAGGTCTCCACCAATGTGCCAAGTTGAGTAGGCCTCATAGCCCTTAGGTATGTTGTAGGCGTCCGCCTTGTTTGAAAGCGTCCGCCTTGAAATTCAAAACTTGGTGGTTGATCATCTTCGTGCCATGGCGGCGCCCCCAGACTGTGACCGCGGTTAGGGGGCTTGGGCCGATATGGCTTAAACAAACATGGCTTGAGCCAAAATGGCTACGGTCCCTCCTACTCTTCATCCTCTCCTTCTCCTCCTCCTCCTCCTCCTCATCTTGCTCCTCAATCGTCGTTGCAAGCCTGGGCGAGGGCAATGTAGTATCAAGCACGCAGCCAAAGAGTAAAATCAGGCTTCTGCCGCTGGGGAAGTTGTGTAAAGGACAATAACATGACCCCGATGTCGACGACAACATCCACGAGCACATCTACAGAGAAGGTCCGCGCCTTTTAAGGAGCAGAGATGCTTCTAAGAAGCCCTCCCCCCTCCTCGAACCCCCCTCTGCGCGTGGCTGAGGGATGCGAGGCGAGGATTTATCCATAACCATCGCCTGGGGGATCGAGCTTCGGGGGCCTCCTTGGCAGGCGGCGAATATGCACATGTCCGCCCCCCCCCCCAAGGCCCGAATCTACGCCCACTGCCCGCCCAAGCCTCCGAGGTTCTCGATCGCTCCGGGCGGTGCTTATGCATAGATCCGAGCCCCTGAATGCTACACTTCGGAACGGAGAAGTTGAAAACATGATTGATGTACCCCGAAGTTGCTCTTTTCAAAGAGCATATCCGCATATCTACGGGGATTCATGTAGCAGATTCGGCGTAAATCTGGGGTAGCTCAACTCTGCGGCCGATCTCCTGCTCGAGCACCACTCCTCCTCCTCCTCGGTCTCCCCCCCTGCCGTCCGGCCTCGACTTTGATCGCGGCCTGCCACGCCGTATCCAGGAGCCTCGAGCCGCGGGCGGGGGCGGGTCCGATTCCCCCCCCTGGGACCCAACGACTGCTCCATCGGCGCCGCCTGGTTCGTCAGCGGGGTGGTGGGCGGGCCACGCGCTGGTCCGATCCCCCCCCCAGGGCCTCACGACTGTGCTGTTGGTCAGAGGGAGAGAGGGGAGGTGGGTGGTGGGGGGGGGGGCGCATTAAAAGAGGGGGGACACGTAACACGTGCACCGTTCGCACACGTTTTGCGCCCGCGTGGGGGGGGGAGGGGGACACGTGCACCGTTCGTGCACCTCTTGCGCCCGCGGCGGCAGTTCAGGGGCCGATCAGGGCCCCCTTCCCACCATCCTCGATCCCCCCATTTACACTGCCCACCCGTTGCCGCCCGCGAGACGCCCCCCTCCCTCCGCCGCTTGTGGGAGCGCCAGCTGCGGCAAGCTCGTGTCGCGACGACTTGCGCGCTGGCTTCTGCCCCCCCGCGGGGTCGCTCAACCTTCAACAAATATCGTGATTTTTTCAATGCGGGGCCCCCGGAAGTCTCGACCCATTCCCCGGGACAGGTTCTCCCTCCCGAGTCGTTCGTTGACGGTCCCGAGGCCTGGCGGGGCCCCGAGAGGCCGAGAACGGCGACAAAACCTCCGTCGTGATTTTTTCAGTGCGCTGGATCTCTGGGGCGGCTTCCCGACAGCGCAGATCGGTTGATGCCTGCCGGCTCCAAGCCACTTTGCGGCGCTGCCCTTGGAAGACTCGAGAGCCTGGCCGCCGCGCCCACAGGTCGCCAACGCGCGAGATACCCCTCCTCCTCCTCCTCGTCCTCGTCCTCCTCCTCCTCCTCCTCCTCCTCCTCCCCCTCCTCCTCCCCCTCCTCCTCGTCCTCGTCCTCCTCCTCCTCCTCCTCCTCCCCCTCCTCCTCCCCCTCCTCCCCCTCCTCCTCCCCCATGAGTGTATAGGATCCCGGGTCGAGGGCTCACAGCACCCCTCCCGGATGGGGAGGGCACCAGCATTCACAGGCCTCCCCCCCTGATAGGAGGGTGACGACGACGACGACGACGACGACGACGACGACGACGAACACGCCACGCGACCACAGGGGGTAGGTGTCGGGGACCCATCGCGCGGGGGAGGGGGGAAGGCGAAGGCATCAGCATGCCGGGGGGGGGACCCGGAGCCCTGAATCATGCATTCGCGCGGGAATGAATGTTCTACGTCGGCGGATCTGAGGGGTGCGAGCGGGTAACGCGAGGAATTAAGGGCCCCTCAAGGGCCCGGGATGCGCCCGAAACTGGCGCGACAAAAAGCCGACCACAGCACAGCATCTGCGATGCTGTGGGGTTCGGCCGGTTGATCGTCCAGCGCCCGAGAGCCCTCCTGGCCTAGCCAGGAGGGCGTCTACAGCCGGGCGCAGGGTGGACCTAGCCAGGAACGGTGTCTGGCGTCCTCCTCGCGGCAGGAGGGGGGAGAGAAGGAGAGTATGCAGGCGCTGCTCACGAGGATCAACAAGGATCGCCAAGATCGAGGATCATGGATCTGGAGCGTCTTCGGGCCACCCTGGGGCCTCCAGAGGCGCCTCTGGGAGGACACGCCCTCGCTTCGTGAACAGGGACCCGCTTCAAGGCGCTGCAAATTTCCTCTGCCCTCCTTGGCAAGGCCTGTGCACGCAGAAGCGAGATGTTGAACGCCCAACGTCGCGAACTCCCCACTTGCAGTGCGAAAAATCGTGAGATGCTTCCAACATCTCACGCGCAATTGCACAACAACATTAAACAACACACGCACCACTCTGCCTGACATGGTCTCGCTTTCCAACGCGCTGCCATTACTGCCAACGCAGACCCGTTCACGGGGTTGCCACGGTATCGTGCCGCAGTCGCAGCAACCACGGGCCGAGGAAGCGGGACAAACACTGGGCAAGCTCGGCAGCGTAGCTCGCATCAGTTGGCGTGAGGGAAACGGGTCCTGGACCCCAGAGGCTTTCCCTCGGGGCCCAGGTGTTCATCACGAGTTCTGAATCGTTTTTTCTGACGGTGCCCCGGGAAGCCCGAGAGAGGCGCATCCCTCAGGATCCCTTCTCTTGACGACGAATCCGATCTTGGAAAGACTGTGCGCAACCTGGTCCGCTGCTACCTTCAGCGCGGCTGGCGCGGGGCGATGTTCGGCACGCGACCGCCCCCCGCCACGTGGGGACCTCGGAATGCTTCTGCTTGCGACCGCCTCTTCCGAGAATCGTGGGCGTCCTAGGGGGGGGCGTCCAAGAGGGGGGGGGTGCGCAAATAATGGCCGGCGGCATGTGCGCGGCCAAAGGGGAGGGGGACCGGGGACATTTTGAACAGGCAGGCGCCATGAAATCTGAGGAGACATTATGGCCCGCGCCATGATATCCCCCCCCCAAAAGTCATCACCCTTCTCCCGGCCGACACCGAGAGGCAGCAAGAGCAGGCGGAGGCGGAAGCCAGGGTGGGGAGGGGATGGGGAGGAGGCCTCCCGGGCTCCCGCTCCCCCAACCTGATGTTGCATCCTCGGAGGACCTCGACTGCCCCGTCGCAGCCCTATCCGCGTCGAAATCCACGTCCTACTCATCGGATCCATGTCGTACTCGTCGGATCCATGTCGTGCTCGTCGGATCCGTATCGAACCCAAGTCGAGTCCGTGTCGAAATCCACGCCACATCCGCGTCAAGTCCACATCGAGCCCGCGTCGGGCACAAGAAAAGCCACCAATTTGGGGGACAGACGAGGTCCCCGAAGATGCAGCGTAACTCACCCGGCGGCGGCAAGCCTGTCGCACTCGGCACAGCAAGAGCAGGTGGACGCGAAAGCCTGGGGGGATGGAGAGCAACACCCTACGCGCGCCCCCGCTCCCATGCACCCTCGGGCCATGAACATAAATCACGACGGGAGGACTTTCGCCATTCTCGGCTTCTGGGGGCCCTCCCTGGGCCTCGGGACCGCCGACAGAAGCGACTCTGGATGGCAAACTGGTCGCGGGGAATGGGTCGGGGCACGAGGAGGTCGACGTTCTGAAAGATCATGGCGTCGGGGGCCATGGTCCGGTCCGTGCCCCCGTTCGCCCATGCGGCGCCAGCGAGCCTGTCGCACTCGGCGCCCCCCTGCAGCACGGCGCCGCGCTGCTGCCGGAGGTCCTCCGTCCGCTGCGCGTTCGCAAGGAGTTCCGCGTGCCGCCTGCACTGGCAGCATATGATGCTCCAACCTGCTTTAGCCTTGATCACCAGAAAGAATTTCGAGCGCCAGAAAAAACGGAACTCAACGGTTTTCACGTGTCGGGCCCTGGGAGACACTCGCCCGACTCTGTTTCGACACTGTCTCGACACTTTTCCGGGTGCTCGAAATTATTTCTGGGATGCGGTCCTTAAGTAGGATGGGAACAACATAACACTAGCAGAGGGAGGGAAAAGAAGGGGGGGACGGGAGGAAGAGGAAGGCTTGACTGACGATAGCAACGAGGAATGTGCAAATCTTGTTCGTGTTGGTGCTCCCTGCCTTGACAGCGTCGGGAAACAAGCTGCTCCCTCACGCAGGCCGAACTTCGAGGTCAAGGACAATTCAGCCCGATACGACCAGCTAGAGTAGGGCGACCCACGCCGACATGCTCAAGACATGTCACATATGGGCGTCCTGGTGTGACTTCGAAACGCTCCTGTTCCTGGCCACGTTCATCCAGTCACGGCAAAATGTGACGATGCGGATGATGATTATGATGCTGATCTGATGTCGGTGATGTTGGTGGTGACTGTGCGTATCATTATGATGATGTTGTTGGTCATGCTGCTGATGATGGTGATGATGAGATTATCCCCTCCCTGAGCGTGACGAAACAAACGCCCTGGCCTGAAAAAACGTATCTCTCGCTGGGTGCGGTATTCGGCTCCACATCATAGCAGGAACTGTCGCCCCCGCCTCTCTTGAACACGGGAGCTGAGAAGAAATTTGAGCGGAGCCAACGAAGGGCCACGGAAGCGTGGCCACACACACGTTTTGTTTGGTTCCTTGTTTATTTATAAAAAGAAAAAAACGTATCTCTCGATGGGTGCAGTGGTTCCCAAAACCGCCCGAATTGGCCCCTGGCCCACGCCAGCTAACCAGGCAGGAGGACTTATGAATCTAAATCCTGTGGGCGGCTGTTCTGAAATCTGTGCTGATGAAAGCGGCCAGCGCGCGCCCCAGGAAAACGCAAGGCGATTTACAAGGGGTCGCACCACGTGCGTGACAGAACTTGCTTGCAAAATGAAGCCCGGGCACACCGATGGTCGTCAAGATGTCGAGCGCCCCGTGGCGCCCCGAAGGCAAAAACGAACACGGGGCCACCCTGGAGGATCAAGCTCCGCGAAAGCGGCGCCTGAAATCAAGATACCCACGGACTATATAGGTTGATTACCCACTGGGCTGATTCCACTCGTTGGGCACCCAACCGAGCAGGGCAGCACCATCAACCTCTGGAGGTGCATTGACGGATGGACGAGATCAGCTCGCAGCTAGCATCCCATTTGTGATCGGCACCGACGTCGGGAAGCGCCAAACGAATACCCCGCGAGACGCGAGGAGGCGACCCACGCATTCACCCACAAGATGGGTGCTCAGCGCTCTCCAGAAGGTTTTTCGCTATGTCACTAAAGCTTAGCAGCCTCACCGAAGCTCGGCAATCTCACTCAAGCTCACGAGGACAGCCGAATTCGAGGAAAACTTGATGAATTGCCTAGCAGCCGAAGCAGATGCCAATGCGCAGCTGTCGCGCAAGGTCGGCAGCACACTTCGCGGCAAGAAGGCGAGAGCCTCGAGGAAGTCCGCGCCGTTCAAAAGGCCTGCCAGACGCTCGTGGATCATGTCGCTGCGCTGGGCCAAAGCCTGCGGACGTGCTTGGCGCGGCGTCACTGGCATTTCGTCACCCGAGGCCGCGCGGCTCGCGGCCCCGTGGCGGACCTGGAAGGCCACGGCCGTGGGCGACCCAGGCACGGCCGCCAGCCGATCCTCGAAGCGCTCGGTGAACAGCGGGCCGTCGAACGACCAGAACAGGCAACTGGGGGCCCTCGTGCTCCGCAACCGCCACAGGGCCACCTCGCGCCCTCGAGCCCGCCGGGACTCGCGCAGGACTACCCCCATCGTCGGCGCCCAGGATCTTGCCCCTCGTCTTCTCCCAGCTTGAGTGCAGCAGCAGAGCCCCGACAGACTTCGGGCCCCTGCCCGGACCGACGAAGGCCCTCGCGGTCATGCCCACTAGGTTCGACGGAAAATGTGGCATGCCGTCCCAGGCCAGCCGCAACGCCGTCGCGAACTCCAGGTCCTTCAACAGGAGACTGGCACCCACGACGGCCAGCGCCCAAGGGCGGCACAAGGGTTCTCGGGAGTTCCCGCGGCGGGGCGCGCCCGACGGCGGAATCCCGAAAGCGCCGCCCGTGCCGCTAGGAAGTTGCCGTGCATGGCGGTGCCCAGGTTTGGCCGCGGGCACTGCGGCGCCTCCAGGAGCCTCGACCCTTCGTCGCCCACCAACCCGTCGAACGAATACTTCGCGGCACGATTGTAGAGGCGATGGGCCGCGATCTCGTGGAATGATCCATCTCGAGAGGTTGCGCGCTCGCTTCCTGCTGCCAGCGCGCGCAATTGGTTTGACCTCGTTGGTCTGCAAGAAACCCAACCCGGGCTCGACGCCGTCCCGCGCGCGGCGATGGCGGTCGGCCCTGGCGAAGGCTCGCTGCTACAGAATCTCAGCCCTGGTCAGTGGGCGCCACCTCGGTCTCGCTGTCGCTGCCGGGCGCGGTGTCGGACTCGGCGTGGCCGGCGCTCGCGGCGACGCCGCCGCCGCGCGCCGGGCCCGTCGCGGCGCCGCGCGGCCGGGCAGCGCCGTCGGCGGCTGGGTCGAGGCCAAGGCACTCGCGCTCCATATTAGCGTCGACGAGGAAGCAGGCGCCCCCTCGTCGCGCAAGACCGCTGCCTCACTCAGGCGCGAGAGAAAGCCACGGTGGCGAGGCTTCGCGCTTCGTCGGCCCCGAGCCCGCCAGCGCGGCGTCGGTCGCTGTCGAAAGAGGCAGGCTGGCGGCCGACAGCGCGACTGCCCTTGACTGCCGACTTGGACTCGCTCGGGAACCACCAGACGACTACGGAGACTCCCGTTTCTGGCCGTCCTTTCTCGAGAGCCATGGTCAGGCTCAGGTTGTCACACAGGCTAAGGGCGACGTGAGGTAAGGCCGACGCGCTGCGTAAACGGTGCCGCGCGCCCGCGACCGGCGCGCGCCCCTCCACGCGCGCGATGTCCTGGGGCCGCCGCCATCTCCCGAACAGCTTCAGCAGCGAGGAGGTTAGGTCGATCGCGCGGAATGTCGACCACGGGGGCCAAACTACGGACGATCTGCCACGGAGGTGGCCGCTACGCGACGCTCCGAGAGAACCTCAGACCACGGCCGCGAAAGGCGCGAGCCCGCGGACCGAGCGAAGCGGCAGGCGCTGCGGAGCACGCCCATGAGGCGACGCCCGAGGATGGGCGCCCACGCGCAACGCCCCAGAGTGCCAGCATGTCGTCGCCACTGCAGAACCCGCGATCGGCCACCTCCACGACGCCAAAAACGCGCGCTAGATGCGACCCGCGCCCGCGGAGATGCGGCCCGTCTCGAAGTCGACGGTGAGCCCCGTGAACTTATGGTCCAGCGCGCCGGCGCGCACGCCCTTCCACTTCAGGTTGCTCGCCTCCAGCTGCCCGCGCACCTTCTGGAGCGCGGCGCGAACAGCCCGCTGGTCGCGACCGGCCGCCGCGACCCCGCCAACGTGCACCGCCGCCCCAGACGCGTCGGGCACCGCGCGCCAATCCCGCATGTCGCAGTGCTCGCCGACGCCCGCCGCGAACACCTGAGGGACCGCCGAGACCTGGTAGAAGCACAATACAGGCTCCAGCTCCACCCCGCGGGCAGCAAGGCGAGCAGCGGCGACGCCAAACCAATCCGCAGCGGACCGACGCCTGCCCCAGGCAGCACATCGAGCAGAGCCCCCGCAGACACCGCAGGCAGCGCGAACATCTCTTCCAGGTCCTCGGGCATGGCGAAGCGGTAGAAAGCCGCCTCGACGCCCGCTTGACTCGGCGACAAATTGCAGGCCGCGGGGATCTCGCGCCCGCGCCAGTCGCCGTCGGACGGTAATGCCGTGGTGAAACTAATGCTTCACGGCCCTCGCGTCGAGAATCACCCTGAGCTGATTCCCTGACTTCTCAAGGGACAAGAGGCCCATCGCCGAATGGCGATGGGATGAGAAACGGGGCATTCAGGCATAGTATATTTCGCTCAAGAGGCGCGCGCAGTGGCGAGGAGACCGCCGAAGCTTCCCACCAAAAGAACGAAGGACAGGCTCGCTGCACTGATCGGGATGACGTAGCAAGAAATGACGCCAGTCGTGCCACAACTCGCACGGGTGGTCTGTCAACAGCTCCGGAGCGTTGCACTTCGCGTCGCCGCCGGGCAAGCCCGCGCGACCTTCGGCGCGTACGATGGACCCCACGGGGCCACAGTCGCAGCCCAGCGCGAGGTCATCATCGGCCCGCAAAGCTCAGACGTGCCCAAATCGATGTGCTCAGCCTCGGCCGGCGCATCAGCAACTGACCACATGCGATGAGAAAAACGGCCCCCATACTTGCACCCCATCATCTGAACTCATCTGCGAGTCAATTATATGGCCAAGTCGGCGGAACCAGCCGCAAGGCCTTTGCAGTCGTCTGAGCTCTCTTGCAGATCAACTATATGGCCAACTCTGAAACGTTCAGCCTGGTCAAACTGGATCCCAATCTGCAGCAGGCGAAAACAAAACTCGTGGAAATCACCCCCACAATCCGTCGCCGACAAGCCCGCCTCCGCCTTGAATCGAGAATGGCGGGATCCGGGCGCGACGTCCTGATTCTTGATGAACCTGCACCTGCGCACCCAGCCTGCCGTGCGGGGGCCAAGCACTGGCTGGAATGGCCACGTCGTCACGGTGAGCTGCTTCACGCCCTCTCTGAACCCGAGGTGACGCCCGTCCCCCGCCGTATCTGTGATGGCCAACGCTCTCTCGTCGTGTGCCGAATCCAAGCTGCCGTACTGGATGAGGTAAGAGGAAGTCCCTTCCAGCACGAAGCCCAGGCCCTCCCCGACGATACCGAAGTCCACCTTGAGGTTTGGGAGCCGTGCAAAGCTACTGTGTACATTGCCTGGCAGGATGAACCACCCAACGTGGACTGAATCCGAGGCCGGGGTTGCCACCATCCCGGCCAGCGGTCGCTTGAGAGCCCTCATCACCTCGTCGAAGGATCGAACCGAAGGGTCCGCCCCCGCCTCCAAGAACTCCCGGTGCTGTAGGACCGTGCGTTCGCGGCTGGGCCCGTGCCAACCACTGAGGCGCTGTCCATCCGCCCTTTGTGGACTCCCAATGCGCCTTTCTGCATGTCGGTGTTGATGGCGCGGGAATGCATGTCGCCGTCTGGCGTGGGTATTCAGAACAAATCGCTTCCCTCCTCCGTTCCTGCTGGAGCCGCTGTCCCCATCACTGCTTCGAACTGTAATGCGGTGGCACAGCCCACGATGATGCGAGCCTGGATCTCCGATACCTCAGGCGACAACACCCGCAAGGGGCACCAATGACATACCCGATCAACAATTGCGCGATGAACACGGCCCCGACTGCAATGCGGACGCCGCCGAAAACCTGGAAGGCGATGGCGCAGGAGCCTGCCTCGGAGACGACGCCGCAGTTCAGCACACCCTCTGCGAGCCAGGCGACGGCCTTGATCGTCGCCTGCGCTGCAGCTGACATGGGCCGACGGCGAAGTAAGCTTGAGCGGATACTGGGCGGTACCAATGAAAGACCACGGAAGGGACAGGCTGGCAATACGCTCAAAAGAAGACCGATGATGATGAGGATATTACTGAGGATGATAAAAATGATGATGGCGATGATGATGATGATGATGATGATGATGATGATGATGATGATGATGATGATGATGATGATGCTGTTGATGATGATGATGATGATGATGATCATGATGATCATGATGATCATGATGATGGGGGAGGAGGAGGTGGAGGAAGAGGAGGAATAATAAGAAAAAAAATATATAACGATACTGTGGGGGAACGGGCACAAGAACCTGCCGCAAGAAACCTAAGCCTGAAAATCAACGCAGTGTCTTGCCCAAGGCCCAGACTTCTTGGACAGAAGTTCCAAGCGGAGAAACGCTGGGAGCCCTGGCCCGGAGAGCTTCTTCGCGGGCCGCGGTAAAAAGAAAACGCCAGCAACGCCGTGGAAGAAGTCCATGTTCGAACCAACCAACAAAAATGACCCTAAGCGCTCCGCGGTGGCCCAACGCTGGGAAAGCAAATGTTACCGATAACGCTACTCCATGGACCTCCACCGGGGCGCATTCTGACTAGGATTCCGAATCGAATCCGGCGGTGGGGACGAAGGCCTCCCAGGGGGCCCCACAAGGGGAACACCGGGGGGAAGGGTAGCGGTATAGGTTCACTGGAGAGACGTATCTTCTCATTTCGCTGCTGACGCACGGGTGCACGGCTCACCGCTCCGCGCGGACGCAAGAAATTCCAGGCAGCTTGCGGCGGCGGGGCTTGTGTTCGGTGGCGGGGCATGGCAGCACCTTTTCGCTGCTGGCCCTCCGAATCCGCGCGGACGCAATGAATTCAATGTAGTGGGGTTTCGTCGATGGCGGGGCATTCTCTAGCGATTTAGCTGTTGGCCCTCCGAAGCCGCGCGGATGCAAGAAATTCAATGTACATTTGGCGCAACAAGTTTTCTTCGGTGGCGGGGCATTCTCTAGCACTTTCTGGCCCGCCGAATCCGCGCGGATACAAAAAAATCAAGGCACCGTCAACGTGATGGGGTTTCTTCGGTGGCGGTGCGTTGCTTCCGCGAGGTGCAGTTGTGGAGAAGCCAAAGGTTTCCTGAACGCGAACTTTTCTTGCTGCCCGCGGGAAAACCATCGCGGAACGCGCGGAACACAACAAAGGCAAGGTGCCCTGACGAAAAGCATCCGGTTTCTTGGTACGCACCCCCACTGTACCGTTAATGTCAATCGATGGCCGATATGCATTCGTCCTGGGCTTCCTCTGGCCCTACTCCTCCTGCTCCTTTTCCTCCTTGCCCACAGCCTCCTTGACTCCCTCCCTCCCTCCCTCCTCCTGCTCTGCCTCCGCTGGTCCGTGCGAACCTCCTCGCGCAAACTGATCCTGTGCAGGCTGCGTCCCGCCCTCACCTGACAGGATTCGTGCCCCCGTGGCCCCGCAGCCGCCTCAAGTGGATTCCTCCTCCTCCTCGCCGCCGCCCCTCCCGGCGTAGCTGCCCTGGCGCGCGGTGTTCCGTTCCGCTCCGCCCCCTCCTCTCCTGCGCGAGGGCGACACGGCGAGGGCACTGCATGAGGAACCGCTGGCCGAGAAGGACCCCAGCGCTCTGGAGAACCAGTGGAGCGCCACTTGAGGCTCGGCCAGTAATCGCAGCGCCGCCCCCATCACGCACGGCACCCTCCAGGGTCCGCAGCCACCTGGGCACCCTCCTTGACAAAAAGGCCCGCGCACCGTCAGCGCTCTGCTCGCCCCTCCCTCCCCCCCCGGGGCGGGGCGGCGGACCCGCCCGCCCGCCCGCCTGCCGGCGCGGTCTCCCGCCGGCTCGGGCTCCGCAGCCCGCTCCTGCGGGCACCGCGCGGCGGCAGCAGCGGCCCGCACCGAGGCTGGCAAGGGGATTAGACCGGCAGGTGCGTCGGGTCGGGCCGCAGCGGCACGGAGTCGAGATCGGTGCGCATCGGCTGCGCCCGGATGTACGGCAACGCCTATAGCGAGCAGCGGGCCGCATCGGATCGTCGGAGTATCAGAACCGATTCGGAAGGAGCCGGCCAGACCCAAAATCGGACCAGATCGATCGGATCGAAATAGAGAGCGGAAGACGAGGGGGCGGGAGGCCCTTCCTCCTCCTCCTCCTCCTCCTCCTCCTCCTCCTCCTCCTTCTTCTTCATCCACCGACTGAAGCAAGCTGCTGGACTGACGAACATGCACACAATGGAGGAGGAGGAGGGGGAGGAGGAGGAGGAGGAGAACAAAAGAGAAGCTGGACTCACCCTTGCCGTTGATGGTCGGGTGCGTAGTTCCCCCACCCGTGGGCGCTGCAATACGGGTCATAGGGAACATAACATCGGGCCAACTCCTCACACACGTCTGGGAATTCGTGCGCACACTCGAGACCTGTAATCGAGCACATCAATGAACGAGCAAGCATGCGCGACATGTCTGACGGATACTGCTTCGCAGCCGACGTCTTGAATTCACCTGCCTCGTTCACCCCTACGAGCTCTGACACATCAGAACTACACGCACATCGGCCCTGGCCAGGCAACATCAGGATAAAACCGTTCAAACAGGGGACGTTGACGGCCAACAGGGTAGTCGGCTTCCTGGACTTGGCCCCACAACAACACTGGTCGAATTTTAGGAAAGTGACGTGCGCACGAGGCCTAAAGCCCAGCAGTGCTTTGACTTCAGGAAGCCTCCAGATTGACGGCAAGTGCAAACGCTCGGGTCCGGCAGGATGTTCAATAATACACGGCGAACCGACGGCACAACAAACGTATGCAGCCTGTAAAATGGTTTGCAGCAAACGGCTGCCCAACAAAATTTGGCGCCACTCACGCTTATTACGGGATGGGATCCCCCAGAGCCAATCAACAGATCTAAGCGCCCTGGAGAAGATCCCCCCATTCGGGGGGGGATTGGCGCGGCCTTGACACCGCGTCTCACACGGAGGCCCACCAATCACCCCCGCAGCATGCTTCGTCCAGAGCATATTCAGGAAAACAGTGACAGAACTGTGATCAGTTAAATCACCTGCAACCTTTATCGCTAGCAGCGTCTATGGATACTGGAACCCTGGCTTGTTTTTGCAAGGCTTCAAAATGCATCTGAACGTCGCCAACACGGCGCTGTACACTAAAAAATGAAGAACAAAACGAGTTTCTGTTGGACAGCGGGCAATTATTGGGGCGGAGTCCGTGTCGTCGTCGCCATGCCTCTTGATCCCCTGCGCGCTGGCTCGCACGACGACGTTCGGAATACCACCGTCCAAAATCATTCCCACGAACCTTTCTGGCGGATACTCGGCGGCCAGCTGCACACCCCCCTTTGCTTTCACAGCCTGAGCCTCCTGAGCTCCGGCGGTCCGAAGTTCAATGATCTCCGGCACGCTCAGGGGCCTGAGAAAGTGCACAAGCGGGCGCGCATATTTTGGATCCAAAACGCAGATGTCTCAAGAGCCGCCCACGCGAGTCCCAGTTGAAACCGCAAGCCTGGCAACGTGCTCCGACGGCCACGGAGCCAGCAACGTCAAATTGCGGGTGCATCAGTGTGCGGTAGCGTGACCATGACGCCTTAGTACTACAAATATGGTCGCACTCTCTGCATGGGTACACTACTTCCGAAGCTGGCGGGCGCACAGTGTCAGGGGGCCCCAGCCTGCCCTTCTTGCAGATCTTAAAAAACTCTGCTCGCCATATGCCGACCTCCGCCAGTGCAAGCTCCTCCGAGTGTGCACTGCGCTCGGCCCCCCTGCACTAAGAGATCCATCGTTTCGCATCACTCCGAGCCACAGACACCCACCAAGAGCAACCGCCCACGGGATTCCAGGGCCCAGGAATCGAGACGCGATCATACACCCACAACACATCCTCCTGCATGAGCTCAGCCCAACTCCCTTTCGCATCGATCATACAATCAAGCACGAAAAGCAAACCATTGGAAGCAAAACCTACGAGCCTCTGGAGGAACCTCAAGCGCCTAAGTCTGAGCACCGTAAGCGGAGACAAACGCCTGCTAGCAACATATACCTCGTCATTGGACCATGCGCTAAACTCATCTCCCTGCACCTTATACCCCATGGCAGCACGCAGGGATGTCAGATACGCAGACCCGAGAAAGGATTGATTGCTTACAGACAGCTGCGCCCACACAGCCCCGTGGAACATAACGCGACTGCGACAAAAGGCCGCGGCGAACTTAAACTTGGGACAAAGCTCCAGGTCGTTGTTTTTTCTTGAAGACAGCCTTCCGAAGGCCACCCAAGACAATGCGCTGAGACCTGTGCCGATGCATTAACTCAGCAGTCATGCGTCCCCCATCGTGAATCATAGAACCTAAGTGCTTGCACGCGCGCGTCATGTGCACGTGCTGCCTGATGTGGGGAACCCAACATTTGCTTTTCATGGCCCCCAGGCCCCTGGCAACGCCGCGCTTGCCATAACCAGTCGGTTAAATGAGGGGCGTCGGCTTTCCCTCCCCGAAATTCACGCTGAATCCCCTCACTCTCATCTCATCATCCACTATGCCAACTACGACGTGGGCCAGCCTGATGGCCTCGTGCGCCGCCCTGGCAGCTTGCATAGACATACGAAGGCGGTCCTATCAGGGCGCCCGGCTGGTCACCCTCAGCACGAAAGGCACGCGCGGGGTCGACTCCGAAATCTCTGGCATGCAGCGCGAGCCCTTCGGCAAAGAAGCGTTCTCGCAGCCTCTCGTGCACGGGTGCAAAGGATAACGCGAAGAGCAAATCTGCTGGCGGCAAACCTGGCCGCGGCCCTGTGGTGGCTCTAGCTGCCTCTGGCGCGCCTTTGACCTGGAACCACGTGCAAGAATTGGTCTCTCTGATCATATCATGCACATGTTGGCTGCCAACTTTCTCAAAAATCGTTGGCTCCGCCAGGATGCTACGCATTGCACCCTCTGAAGCAAGAGGGAGCTGCAACTCGTCGATGGCTGTTTCCAGCTCCCCTTTCCGCCTCAGGCAGTCTCACGAGAAACTCCCTAACGACGGTGTGGAAAGCAACACGCAAATCCGTGAAATAGAGCACGGCAGAAAAGCCCGGGCGATTCACAAAGTCCTGGGAAACTCGAATCTGAAGAGACGCTCCAACAGTCCCCCGACCAGGCCTGCCTCCGTGTTGGTCGACGTCCATCAACACAGAGGCAACTTCCAGAATTCTTCTGCGCAAGAACTTGCGGTGATGCTTGCACACGTGGACCCCGAGCAAAATATCGCGGAAGATGGACAAAAACCTCGGGTCCCCTTTTTTGAACAGATCATGGGCCACACCTCCTTTCCAAGCCAAAGGTTCCCTACGCATCATCTGCACCTTGACCATGTGCGGCATAACCATGCGCTAGCTAACCTCCGGGGCAGCTTTATACAAGTCATTGGTGACGATGTGAGGTCCTCCCGCACGCCTGCGAGAGGCACTCAAGATGGCCATTCTCGCACAACCCAACGACATGACATCACTCGAGTCCCTGAGCCCTACGGAACTAAAAAGCTGCTGCTGACGGTTGTACTCGCTTACAAGTTCCTTCACTGAACACGCACAGAGGCCTTCTCAGCCTTGGCAAAGTGCTGCAGCAGGCCTAAGGCCAACGCCTCGCGGGACTCGAAGGGCATACCATCGGCGTCGTATCGAAGAGGAACGACCCCCGAGTTACCTCTCCCCTTGACTCCACCGAAGGCCAACAGACATTTGACCAATCTCCACTCCTCCCGTCCATCCCCAGTGGCAGATGCGACTTTGATCGCATCGGCTGTCTCTCTCAAGCATTCTGCGCGATCCCCACTGAGTTTCTTCCGAAGGGCCCTCTGTGAGGACCTGAGGAAACAAGCGAAAAAAATCAGCCAGGCTGGGTATGGTTATCTCCTTAGCCAACCACAACCGACACCCAAAGGCGAGCACCCCGGAAGTCACATCAAACTCGGGGAGTCTCTTTCGAACCTGCTCTGACTCATCATCGGGGTTGTCAACCAGCTGCAGCAAGGAGTCTACAAAACAGAACAAGGGCCAGGTGTTAAAGTCTGTGTATCGGCGCACGACTCCACGCACAGACCTGCGTACCCTGACCGCCCACAAGGTTTCTGACCTAATGTAAGACTTCACTGGCCCCATCGATTTTTCTAGCAAAAATGGTTCACGGCACATTCGTGAAACGACTGTGTGATTATTCGGAAATGTTCGTTTACATCCACTGACCAGTGTAGTTGCGGTGACGCTAGCAAGTCTTGGGCGAATGAAACTTGCTTCTCTGGCTCGCGGGCCGCTTGGATGTCAAAAACTGGCAGCCCTCGCTGCCCTCCGATCTCCTCCGCCCACTCAAGCTTCGCATACACAGGGCAGTGATCATTCTGTGCACGTTCCACATCCACGTCATGCACAACACCCTGCCCGACGATGTGTGAGCTCCATACGATAGGCACGCATGCAAAATCAATGCGGTAACGAGTGCCCTTCATACATTGGCATGTGTGCGCTGGAGCCTCGGAAGCAACACGTGTGCTACACGCGCGCAACTGGGACTGGCACAAGGTAGAGCGAAGCATAGCTCGATTGCTATCTTCGACATCTGCAGCAATGCCACCGACAGAACTGCTGCAAACACTGCCGACGCGCGCATTCGCGTCAGTAAGCAAAATATCCACACCATGCCTGGTCACGAGCTGCTGCATCTCATTCCACCAGGCCTGCCTCTTGGGATGAGGAGCCCCTGGACATAAGGAATGACCCACCATGGCGACTACCTTCCAATATGGCGCGTTTTATCTTCACGGCCAAGCAACGAGGATCCGCCACGACAACCATACGATGCCCGGCTTTGAACCTCAACTCCTT